GTTAATAAAATATACAACTTTCGATGCTCTTTCCAACAATGTATAGAACGTCACTGCACGATGTGCCGTTTCTAAGAAAAGCTGTAAAAAAGCAGGGCTCGACTGTGACTTGAACCCAACCACATTAGAGGATACGAACAGGTGACGGGGATACCTCCCGTGTGCGGATGTGACACTGATTATTGCTAAATATTAGCAGTAGGCCGTCTGTGGGGGCGCCTTTACAAACCTTATATCTCTGCAACCATTGGACCGATTCACTCGCGGTCTTTTGTGTGGGATAGCTTCTTCCTTTCTCACACGTAGTGTGCTGTTCTCGATGCGTATGGGTGACCCCTAATGCACGTGCCACGTGCAAAACGAGGAGAAGTCAGTTCAGTAACAAATCTAATAACTCTGTAGTTAGTTTGCCGATTGCGCTGGTACTTGGCATGGATGTTGGCACGTATCCGGCAATGCATTTCCATGTTTCACGGTTGGGGTGCTATTGCACGTGCACACGTGCAGGGTGACGCTTCCAGATCTCGAGAACGGCTGGGCCGATTGTGATCAAAGTTGGCACACCGTTAGGGATCGGCGAGTAGGGTGCCGTGCACAAGTCAGATGGGATTCATTTTGCACGTGCGCACGTGCAGGCTGACGCTTCCAGATCTCGAGAACGGCTGGGCCGATTGTGCTTAGATTTGGCACACCACTAGAGACTGGTTAATAGGGTGCCGTGCACAAGTCAGTAAGTATGTATTTTCATGTGCCACGGTTGGGGTGCATCTGCACGTGCGCACGTGTAAGGGTCGTTTCCAGATCTTGGAAACGGCTGGGCTGAATGCGATTAAATTTGGTACATCGCTATAAACCGGCGAATAGAGTGCCGTGCACAAGTCAATTGGGACCTAGGCTGCACGTGCGCAGGTGCAGGGTGTCGCTTCCAGATCTCGAAAACGGCCGGGTCGATTGCACTCAAATTTGGCACACCGCTATAGACCGGCGAATAGGGTCTTAATGCGTCAGTGTTTACGTTTAACGGACGGTATTTTCATGTGCCACGGTTGGGGTGCAGCTGCACGTGCGCACGTGTAGGGGTCGCTTCAAGATAGCACACCGACTCCGGTCTGCACGTGCAAGGCTCATCCTCTCGTTTGGCGGCGGGCGTTTTTGCTGCGTTTACAAAGGTGCTTGCTCAAACAACCTGCGGTCCCGCGATGCGGAGCCCAGCATCGCAGATGCTGGGTAACCGCAGGTTGTTTGAAAAGACAAACACTATTCGTTAGAATTGTGTTTTTCTATTGAAAAACAACCGGAGCGGTCGTTCTCCGGGCTATGTTTTGCAAGTCTGGCCGCGAATTGGGGCAACTTGGGTGGGGCCTAGACGAAATGTACAATCTTCGTAAAAAGTTCAGTGTATGGGCTCCCGGAGGCGATCTACCTTATGGCACCGGTCGCTACTCGCTTAAAACCTCGTGGCACGTGGCACGTGCGATTCCATTTTCCCCATGTTAAGTCAACGGGGTTTTGGACACTTTTTGCGCGATCGCCAATAGCGGAAAAACGAGCCAAGAAGGAGGTGGTTTTCTTCCCAGCATTTTATGGCAAACACGTTCAGGTACACGGCAGTGTGCGCTGTATACTAGGGTGGTCCGGTTTGCATCACTTTTTTGAAAAGTCACGGTCTCACCCCCCTATCTGGTGCATTTTGGGGCGCTGATTACGATAAGCACATTAAAAATGCAAATTTCGATTTTTTTTGTAGGCCCCGGTCGATCAAAGATTTTGAAAATTTTGCGAATTCGCACATTTTTTACCATATATCAGAAAAATGAAGAATAAAGTTATTAAAATGATATTTAACAGATGCAGCAAACATATTCCTAGGCGTATGTGCGCAAATTAGTGAGCTAGGGCCAGCCAAATTATTTTTGGACTGAAATTACTGAGGCCATTTCCGTGTTTCCGCTCCCGGCCGCTAGGTGGCGACCGCCAGGGCGGTCGCTACCGGTAGAGGACGGGCCATCGCTCTCATGTGTTTTGACGCACTGCGACGACATTTTGAGTGACGATACTGATATTTACAAACTAATGACACAAGCGGTGTATTATTCTGCCTATTTCAATAGAATTGGGTATGAAATACCCACAAAGAAGTACGCACCACACCCACACAGCCTGGCGATTTTGCCGGCACTAGTCACAACCACTAAACCTTACGCAACGGCATAAAACGAACAAAGCAACAACATGTGATATTTAGCACATCTCGCACAAGGAGATTATGTCCTCTTATCCTGGTGTCCAATGTCCATCTAAGCTAGGTCACAGCGCCCGCGACTATAGCGCCACTTGGAGTCCGACTACTGACTACTGCCCGCGAAAGTGACGCCGAAAGGCTATCTTATTCAAGCTATAGCCGTCCTGGCGCACCGCGCCCGCCACCGCTCCAGAGGACTGGGTGGTAAGCTTGACGGCGCGCTCTGTGGACTGGGTGTGACATGGCACCCTAGTCCGCAGCGGCTCGTCCACCAGTGCCTCCAGGTCGCCGTCACTGAGAAAGCGAACACAAGGTGGCTCTACATCAGCCACTCGAGCGTACATGGTGACGTCGACAAGCTCCGTGTACTGGTGAGCAGACACATTCACCGACGCGCTTTGCACACGGAACTGGCGAACTGGCCCAGGCTGCCGGCGAGCTCGTGCCTCGCGCACCATCTGCACGGCTCGTGCTCTGACGTCACGGCGCTCGTCACCGAGCATACCGAGCACCACGTTCTCAGGATGAGGACAGAGGCAACACATGGGAGGCCCAGACCTGCAAACTGTTCAGGGTAGCTTGTGCGGCAATGCGTTGATGGCTCATCCTGAGAACGTGGTGCTCGGTATGCTCGGTGACGAGCGCCGTGACGTCAGAGCACGAGCCGTGCAGATGGTGCGCGAGGCACGAGCTCGCCGGCAGCCTGGGCCAGTTCGCCAGTTCCGTGTGCAAAGCGCGTCGGTGAATGTGTCTGCTCACCAGTACACGGAGCTTGTCGACGTCACCATGTACGCTCGAGTGGCTGATGTAGAGCCACCTTGTGTTCGCTTTCTCAGTGACGGCGACCTGGAGGCACTGGTGGACGAGCCGCTGCGGACTAGGGTGCCATGTCACACCCAGTCCACAGAGCGCGCCGTCAAGCTTACCACCCAGTCCTCTGGAGCGGTGGCGGGCGCGGTGCGCCAGGACGGCTATAGCTTGAATAAGATAGCCTTTCGGCGTCACTTTCGCGGGCAGTAGTCAGTAGTCGGACTCCAAGTGGCGCTATAGTCGCGGGCGCTGTGACCTAGCTTAGATGGACATTGGACACCAGGATAAGAGGACATAATCTCCTTGTGCGAGATGTGCTAAATATCACATGTTGTTGCTTTGTTCGTTTTATGCCGTTGCGTAAGGTTTAGTGGTTGTGACTAGTGCCGGCAAAATCGCCAGGCTGTGTGGGTGTGGTGCGTACTCCTTTGTGGGTATTTCATACCCAATTCTATTGAAATAGGCAGAATAATACACCGCTTGTGTCATTAGTTTGTAAATATCAGTATCGTCACTCAAAATGTCGTCGCAGTGCGTCAAAACACATGAGAGCGATGGCCCGTCCTCTACCGGTAGCGACCGCCCTGGCGGTCGCCACCTAGCGGCCGGGAGCGGAAACACGGAAATGGCCTCAGTAATTTCAGTCCAAAAATAATTTGGCTGGCCCTAGCTCACTAATTTGCGCACATACGCCTAGGAATATGTTTGCTGCATCTGTTAAATATCATTTTAATAACTTTATTCTTCATTTTTCTGATATATGGTAAAAATGTGCGAATTCGCAAAATTTTCAAAATCTTTGATCGACCGGGGCCTACAAAAAAAATTCGAAATTTGCATTTTTTATGTGCTTATCGTAATCAGCGCCCCAAAATGCACCAGATAGGGGGATGAGACCGTGACTTTTCAAAAAAGTGATGCAAACCGGACCACCCTACTGTATACCCCTCAGAATCCCGGAACGTGTCTTTGCACGAGGTCAAAGTTGGAATTTTGCTGTGTCCCATGTTAAGTCAATGGACGGCGATGCCGGGACTTTGCAGAGACATTTTCATTCGTTCATTGTACAAAATTTTAGAGATAGATTTCGCCCAAACTCTTATATCTTGTAGAGGAAAGAGCATAGTACTTGCTGTTATGCTTCGTTAAGGTGGCAAAACTCATTTTTTTCTTTTAAAGTTAATTTGAAATTTAAAATTTTTAACATGGAAAGTCAATGGGAGCGTCTGTATTCCTCTATAACTTTTATCTTTAGTAAGATATATAGGTGAAAAGTTAATATAATATACAACTTTTGATGCTCTTTCCAATGATATGGCAGGGACAGAGGGGCGGAGCCGATCTGGCAGGGTTGTCAGTCGAGTCATGTCCGGCCGGCGTGCTGGCACTGCCGCCTGGAGCCTCCAACAGCTACATATGTATACGAGTTCGTGGAACAACCCATCTGAGCGACGCGCCTGACCGCAGGCTGTAAATGAGCCAGAGAATGGTCCAGAGGGCGTAACGGTAACGAGGAAATTGCCATCCAGTTCCCAGACGCCCTGTTACGGCTGGAATACGCCAGGAGTTTATACGCTGTTCTGCGAGGGCGCTGTTCTTAGCTGGCGACCTTGTTGTGTTCGTATATACAAGTTTTCAAGTTTCAACACAACCCAATGTTCCCGTGAGCCTCTTCGATCTTAGTAGTGGCAGGGAGGCGGAGACTGGTTGATATTGTGCAATAGCTCTGGGTGGCTGATACGAGAGCTCGAAGACAGTTCCTGAAGCATGACGCAATGGGACATTTCATATGTTCAGTCCATATCAGCTTACTAACGATGTACTAACGATGATGCCCGTGCCGAGATGCGAAACCTCGTGCGTGTTTACAGTTACGTCTGTGATGCGATTCGATGGTAGAATAGGTGTGTGGCCCACTGTCATTTAACATTCATTTTTCTTTTTACAGAATCTATCCCACAACCTAACCTAACCATGTCGAAGATCGGAATCAACGGATTCGGCCGCATCGGCCGCCTGGTGGTGCGGGCCGCCCTCGAGAAGGGAGCCGAGGTCAGTCAAAGGTCATGGGTCAAGGTCACTGCAACTGAGACTGTGATCCAATCAGCTGTCTCGGCTTTCAGTCGATGCATTCAATTCTGTACTTTATATAGGTAGCCCTTTTCCATGCATGTTTGCAGGCATGCAGCGTGCTAAGAATATTCTGTAAAGCCAATTTCATCATTACTTGTGTCATCTATTTTGAGCGGGATATGATGACACCCGGAGGCAACCCACTCGCTAACGTCTTATGTCAGCTGGCAGCGCGTCACCATTAAACCATCGCCGTCATCGCCTTCCAGGTCGTAGCCGTCAACGACCCGTTCATCAACCTGGAGTACATGGTGTACATGTTCAAGTATGACTCGACCCACGGCCGCTACAAGGGCGAGGTCAAGGCCGAGGATGGCTGCCTGGTCATCGACGGTGAGTGACGCCGGTAGAACTGAGACGGTGGGGTGTGGTCGGGTATCCTAGGAGCCGTATTGATCGTTCGAAGCCGTGTGGAGCGAGCCGATAGTGAGGCTTTCAATGACAAACATGCAATTTAACCGTCCTGTCGAGGGTGGAAGTGTCTCGCCCCAATTTATTGAATTTCCAGTTAACGTCACATCAGTGGCCTACGGCGCATTAGCGAACATTTCAAAAGCTCATGGTCAAAAGCTCATACATAGTTTGTTATTAATGATAATAATAATGATAAATACCGTTTATTTCATGCCATCGTATCGAAGCTGTAACTTTTTGTGAAATACATGGCCAAATGATTTGAAATTTTAGTACCGATTGGATATTTGGTGCCTTGCAGCGTAAATAAACAGAAATTGCGGCTGCTCTGAGCGCTTAGCTCCGCACGTCCTTATCAAGCACTAATGTCAATGTTTTTTCACAGGCAAGAAGATCACTGTCTTCAACGAGATGAAGCCCAACAACATTCCGTGGTCGAAGGCGGGCGCCGAGTACATCGTCGAGTCCACCGGCGTGTTCACCACCATCGAGAAGGCCAGCGCTCACTTCGACGGCGGGGCCAAGAAGGTGGTTATCTCGGCGCCCTCGGCCGACGCGCCCATGTTCGTCTGCGGCGTCAACCTGGACGCCTACTCGCCGGACATGAAGGTGGTCTCGAACGCCTCGTGCACCACCAACTGCCTGGCGCCGGTGGCCAAGGTGATCCACGACAACTTCACCATCTTGGAGGGTCTGATGACCACCGTGCACGCCACCACGGCCACCCAGAAGACTGTGGACGGCCCGAGCGGCAAGAACTGGCGTGACGGCCGCGGCGCCGGCCAGAACATCATCCCCGCCTCGACCGGCGCCGCCAAGGCCGTCGGCAAGGTGATCCCCGACCTGAACGGCAAGCTGACCGGCATGGCGTTCCGCGTGCCCACCCCGGACGTGTCCGTGGTGGATCTCACCTGCCGGCTGGCCAAGCCCGCACCCATGGAGGAGATCAAGAAGAAGATCCAGGAGGCCGCCAACGGCCCCATGCAGGGCATCCTCGGCTACACCGACGAGCAGGTGGTGTCCAATGACTTCCTCACCGACTCGCGCTCCAGTATCTTCGACGCCGGCGCCTGCATCCAGCTCAACGACACCTTCGTCAAGCTGGTCTCCTGGTGAGTAGGGGCTCTTACTCTGTACATAGGGCGTAGAACGGAGGTTCTGATAGGATCTGGCGTCGGGCTAAGGACGCTCCCACAGTACCCTTTACTCTCATCGGGATGGGCGACTTGCGTACGTTGGAATCATGCCACTTGCTTTGGCAACGCTTAAAACTGTCGTGACATGATAGTTTGACGGTTGAGCTTCTAATTAAGAATAGCTGAAGTTCATTTTGAACTTAAGAACCATTTCGGGTTTGTTAAGAGCCGTAGTCGTTTTTTTTTATAGTTTTATCTAGATTTGTTTCAGAAATGGGACAATATGCAGTATGCTGCATTTCATCTGTGGATTAATTGATGTGTCTCCTCCTTTCCAGGTACGACAACGAGTACGGCTACTCTCACCGTGTTGTCGACCTGATCAAGTTCATGCAGTCCAAGCAGTAAGCTGCCGCCGCGGCCTGCTCTGCTGCGTGCTCCAGCGGTCGGTCGGGCGGCCCGGCGGACGGGCGGGCGGCTGAGGGCGGTCCGAGGGCACCCTGTCCCCCGTCCCTGCCCCCGCCCGGCCCCGGGCGCCAGGCGCCAGTCACAGTCATCTCCGTCTCCGTGTCCGCACTCTATCCCGGCGCGCGCCGCGCCGTAGTCCGCTGGCCGGCGCCGCTCCTCTCTCCCTCTCTCCTGCTCTCCGTCTGTCAGTCGCTCTGTCTCTCTCTCCTCGGCTCTCCTCAGGTGTAGCGCCGCTGTCTCGGCCGTCTGTGGACGGCGGCTGCCCAGCAGCTTACTGCCGCCCGCGGACGGGCTAGTCGTTATCGAATCGTGATGTTGAATTCTCCGGAATAAAACAATGAAATTGTGTTGGCGACGTTTGGAGAATATGGTCACGTGAGGTGGCGAGGGTCTGGCATCGACCACTTGGCAACTGGCTGCGGGCCAGCTGGGCCCGGTTACGCAACGGACGGACATGTCCCGCCCGCTACGGAGTTAGGTTTGTTTATATTACGTTTCTGGTACTGACAGACTCGACAAGGGTGGAATGTGCTTTTAGAACATGAAGTTTGCTCCGCAGGGATTTGGTAGATTTAACGTCGCATAAATGCTTTTTTCAATTCGAGATTCGAGTAGGCAGTATAATTCATCAAGGATGTGATGATAAAAAGGTTTTTGGTTCTCCTTAGTCTCAAAATGGTCCTTGCTGAAAAAGGCGATTCAGTGCGTGGCCTGTCCCCATGGTTGTGCGATAGGATTTGGCCTGGGTGGGTAACATAGTAGCCTTCGCATGCTAATGAATGGTACAATTTACATAAAGTATTCATGTGCATCGGTCGATTTGTGAACCTTGTCGGAATGCTAGTGGTCCTGTACCACGGGCCTACTCGCACGGACTCATTCGTTTAGCGAGAAGCGCTGGATTATCTACTTGCACTGCTCTGTTGTTCAATATTTGCTCTAAGCCACGCGGGTAACTACATGTAGAGGAAAACATCCTCGTAGGCAGCTGAGGTGGCGTCGCTCAGGGATTTCGTCATCCATCGTGGCGTTCATTGCCTATTTGGTATGCACGAAAGACTCCTTTGGAACGGTGATCTCTGATGAACTCAAAAGTAGAGTCGCATGGACGTAGCGAAAGGGGGGATAAGAGTAATGCTCGTTTCCAGCCCGTAAAGAAGTAGCTCAAGCATGGGTGGAGCTTTTCCAGGGAAGTTGGTGGGCCAGGGAAGTTGGTGGGCTATCTATTCAGTTGGTGGGCAACCGCCCCCCCAACTGAAAAGGAAACTCCGCCCCTGAGCTCGGGGCTAGATGGGCATTTTGGTTAGTCGACACGTCGCCTTCCATTCGAGCCGTCGTGCTGGGGAGGCGGGTGGGCTGGTCGGCGGGCGCCTCCCCCCCTCCCCCCCCCCCATCGATTGTGGTCGGCGGCCACCTCCGTCGGTGTCGTCGGAGTCGACTCACGCTGCCGGCAGTATGGCGAGGTGGCTCAGGAGTGGAGGGTGTGTGCCATAGGGGGATAGTTAGGGGTCAGACGTGTGCCAGATTCCCCTGGTGTCCAGAGTGTTTCACGGAGCTGCTTCTCTTCTTTCGGGTCAGTCGTGTGCTGCCGTTTGTTTGTGCAAAGAGTTCCTACGGGACAAACGGCGTGGGTCCTACCTACAATGAGGAGCTCGAAATACTATGCGATGAGGATCTTTTACGGGCCGTGCTCTTCGGGAAGTGATCAGCGGGGTTCGCGTACGAAGCTAGCTGTCATTGAGGTGGTACGAGGCGGGCATTCTCAATCAGTTCCAATGTGCGATGAATGAACCCCATGCTTGATTCCTGTTCACTTGAGTTTCGATTGAGGGATTGTCTACATGGTTGGGTCGTTGACAAATTATTGAACACAGCATCGGAGGCATTTTGTGCTCGCCTCGAGTAAATTTTCCGACATACAAGATAATTCACAGCATTATCAACCACTTCAATTCGAGACCACTGTCAACTTCTATTGTAGCTAGGTAAGGTACAGCACGGTGCTAAAGCGACTTCAAAATTGTTCGACTCAGGTTTCAGGACACATTTTATACGACATCCAGCTGTTTTGAAGCGAAGGCTGAATTGTCCCATCCAGTGTTATTGCATCGTAAAGTTTATTTTGCCGGAACTCCATTACAGGTAGGCAGGTCAGTCGTGTGCTGCCGTTTGTTTGTGCAAAGAGTTCCTACGGGACAAACGGCGTGGGTCCTACCTACAATGAGGAGCTCGAAATACTATGCGATGAGGATCTTTTACGGGACGTGCTCTTCGGGAAGTGATCAGCGGGGTTCGCGTACGAAGCTAGCTGGGGCATTCCACGATAGATCGTACCACTTTTTTCCAATTTGACACCCTCATCTCTCGGAATTTGACGAGAATTGGTCTCAGGGGTAATCAGGGGCTCTGAATCCACCTGTAACAATTTCAGGCTTATCAGATAAGTATTTGTTGAGTTATGGTGTATAACATTTTTTTTGGATCTTGCTTTGCAGCGCTAAGTTTGGCGGGCTGTAACTCTAAGACGGATTATTCAAATGCCAAATGTTATATTACATTGAACTTGCAATGAAACAGAGATTAATGTGTATTTTTGAAATTTTGAAAAATACGCTATTTTTGATATATGACATATCGAGTTTTCTTTCATTTGTATTTTTGGACTTTGGGACCAAATTTTTTTGAATTTTTATTTCTTTAAAAAAATATGTGGCTCATGGTTAAGAAGTATGCCAAAAATTAGGAAGGTGTTCTTTCTATAAATGTATTTATTTTACGTCACGATAACGGTTTCGAATAGTGATTTCGGGAGGGAGCTTATAAATGGCGTGGTAAAGCTGCCTAGTGACATCACGGGTTACTGAAATTTCAATTTAAGTCTGAGTCATCCGAAAAAAAGTGAAAAGAGGGTTTATCCAACCCTCTTTCCTATAAGCGCGAGGGTGAAAAAGACTGTTTGGTTCTGACTTAGATTTGGACGCCAATGACCATAGCTGTCCGAGATGAAAGTTACAGGACGCATACATGGTGTCCTCCAGAGGTCTCACAACTTGTATATATGGGAATTTTTCAAGGCTACATGAGGTCAGGTCGGTCACGTGACACCACTGTTATAAATCAATGGGAAAATATAAAAACTGTTATTTTGGCGCCGAGAATGATCTAAAACTATCCCACGTACATGGTATCGTGATTTCATGCACTCCTTGCAAAGTCCAATGCTTTACTTTTGCATTGTTAACCTTGCGTGACGTCATTTATGACGTCACTAGGGTCGTACGAGTTTTTCGTCAATAACTCCCGATCAAATGGAGCTAGAGAGTCGGGAAAGCCACCAATGGACTCGGGAAGACCTTCCGAATCGAATGGTATGCCATATGATACCCTTTGCCCAGCTTCGTGACCTGAGGGGCTCTGACCTGACCTTAACCCGAGGTCAACTACTTAAGTTGATCTCACACTAGCAAAAAGTATACCATTCGATGCACCTGAGCTAGGCGAACACAATGATGCCAAAGTCGCGGCTCTGCGGCCATTTTTTGCGAAGTTATTTACTAAAAACCGAACCCGTAACTTCAGTCACGTGACCTGACCTCAGACGCTACCGGTTGACCTGAGACCTTAAAATCGGGTACCAATCGCTGCGACTTGTAACGGCACACACGCTCGTTTTTTCCGCGAGGCTCTAGCTCTATTAGAAGCGAAACGGCGTGCTGGGGTCGTATCAACCCTTCCGAAACCCATTTTGTTTGCGGGAAAATGAGGAACTTTTAGAAAGAACACCTTTCTAATTTTTTGCATGTCGATTTGCAATGACATGAAGTTTATTTTGAAAAAATAAAAATGTGAAAAATTTTGGTCCCAAAAGTCATTAAAGGCAAATGAAAAAAGATTAGGGTTTTTGCTCAATAATGAAATTTTTTCTTTGGAATTTTTAAATAGTAATATTAATTTTTGATTCATCGCAAGCTTAGTGTTGTTTACTTTTTGTTGGTTGCTTAAAGGAAATAGTTCACTTTCACGATATTATTTTTTTTTGCAATGGATTTATGATTTTTTATGTTCAAAATGATCAGCAAAGAAAATAAAACCTATTTATATCAAAAGATTATTTTCTTTATTTTGATATAGGAAGAACTTTTCAGTTTCTGTAAGGCACACGCGATCCAGTATGAAAAGAGCATGGGTCCCAAAAATTCTTCAGAAACTAGAGAAATTATCGCGGCCACCGGCATTTGGGCGATCTACTGCTGCTGAATGTCCTTATTGATCAGTACGAGAATTTCTCTAGAGTTCTCGTAGATAATTTCTCTAGTTTCTGAAGAATTTTCGGGACCCATGCTCGTTTCATACTGGATGCAAATATATGCAAGGCACTTTTTCGGGACGAGAAATAGAATATCTTTGCCTAGGGTGATCGTTGGGCTGTAAAAGCTCCTGATTTATGCTCGTCTCAGCCTAGGCTACGGAACTGCTATTCCAGTTCAAAACCCATGTTAAAAAGTGAACTATTTCCTTTAACCCGTTCTTGAGTTATAGGCCATCAAACTCACCGTTACATACCGAAGTTAACAAAAATGTAATGCAATATAACTCAAAAAGTTTTGATCTGAGAAGTCTGATATTTTGCCAGGCGTCTTTGGGGCCTATGATTACCCCTGGGACCGATTTTCATTAAAATCTGAGAGATGAGGGTGACGGGCCTGGTACGATCTATCGTGGAATGCCCCAGCTGTCATTGAGGTGGTACGAGGCGGGCATTCTCATTCAGTTCCAATGTGCGATGAATGAACCCCATGCTTGATTCCTGTTCACTTGAGTTTCGATTGAGGGATTGTCTACATGGTTGGGTCGTTGACAAATTATTGAACACAGCATCGGAGGCATTTTGTGCTCGCCTCGAGTAAATTTTCCGACATACAAGATAATTCACAGCATTATCAACCACTTCAATTCGAGACCACTGTCAACTTCTATTGTAGCTAGGTAAGGTACAGCACGGTGCTAAAGCGACTTCAAAATTGTTCGACTCAGGTTTCAGGACACATTGTATACGACATCCAGCTGTTTTGAAGCGAAGGCTGAATTGTCCCATCCAGTGTTATTGCATCGTAAAGTTTATTTTGCCGGAACTCCATTACAGGTAGGCAGGGTAGGCAGTACTTGAACCAACAATACGGAACAAGTTGACAACCGAATGCAATAATGATACGGTTCAGTACAACTTGAACGTGTAGACTCTTACTTCAAAAGCGACAGGCAATAATTAGGTCAGTCATCGGGGGCGCTAAATAACTCTGTCGCGTGCCTGCCCTGAGCGCCCAGACCAAGGCTATATAAACCAGGTAGAACGCTCCGGGAAAAAAGTTGGAAACAATAAATTAGTTGCGGCATTCCCTGATGACGCGAATGTGGGTCAGCGGCCGGCGGCCGGCGGCCGCTAACACTGTATGAGGATGCATGCACGGAACTTTTGCTTGTTGGAGATTGCGCTAGGCAGTTAAATGTTAATGTTAGGATATGTTTCGAAAGTAAATTGAACGACGCTTCGAACGCCGTCAATGAATTTGCGATACGACGACTATTTGTTTAGTTAGAGCCGGCGAACTTTTACCTTCCGACCGCGCGGGGAGGCGATATGGTGCCACACTGACGGTTTTTACGACAGCTCAAAATTCTTTTGAGCTAAAGAGCTGAAATTTGACATGTCCAATCTTTTGATCAAGCTGGATCTTCTGGTACAAGTCGCACATTTAAGGTACGTAAGGTTGTTGAGCTAAGTTGTCGCTCGTGAGCCTCTACATAGTCCAAAAACAACGCAATTTCTAAGCACTCAGTGCCAAGAAATCCTTCACAGAAAGATGATACTTGGCGGAAAGAATGGCTGTCGGTTTCTTACCGTTCGTATGTATCGTGTTTTCACAAGAGTTTAGTAAGGTCAGGTCCCTCACGTCACCTCCCCTCATAACTCAATAGGACTAGGTGTACTATCATAGAAGCGTTTATCAATCGCCGGAAATCTTAGCCAATCCCACTGGACACTGGATCCATACCCACATGGGGCCCTCCTGACTGGCCACTCCCTCTGAAATCCACAATAACATTGGGCTGCGGCCATGGTTATGTATTAATGCTTTTCACTAACAGAAATACAACAACTTCAACCAGCACAATGCACGCCGCCACAACAGTCCGACCAACGTCCCTGATATCGACTAGCACTCGGCCGGATGCACATATGCGGAGCCAATTAGTCCGAATGTGACCTGCAGCTTACAATTGCTGTGTCGCATGGCGCGTGGCACAGGACGATTCCTAGCAGCTGTCGGCTGGAGTAGAGAAACAGCACGTTGCGACACACCGCGCCGGCGACAAAGCTCAGCAGGGCTGGTTGGAGGCTGGAGACGGAGGTAAGGGCGGACACAGGCACAGACATTGCAGGACAAATAACAGGATGTCAGTTAGGGATATAATTCAAGACGAATGATTCAAGACGGACTGAAATAATGCACATTTTGCTCACTTGGATACCAACTTCAAACTTGACGTTTATAAACGTATATATATGCTATATATAGCACCACGGAAACAATGGCCACACAGGAAAGAATCAAAAGATGAGGTGTTTTTAACTCAAAGTAAATAGAGGTTGCATATGATGGAACAGCCCGAAGTGCAGACAAGCACATATTTTTGGTAATAGCTATCAGCTGTCCTACTCCTCTTCTCCCTTCATCAACTACTGGACACATCTGAGGAAGCACCAATGTCCATAACAAAAGCTTGCAAAGTAGTTTTATGAAGCCAAGGGAAATACCTATGCCTACATCATGCATGTAAACTCAAAATTACACATGCATGACAAAGAAAGCTTATGTAAAGAGAAGAGTTGGCAAAAGCATTTCATAGTTAAAATTATTCAAAACTGCACACAGGGCAAACATAAAAAGCAGCAAGTGTGCTGTTCTGTTATGCTAAGAAATAGTCCAAAACAAAATACATCTTTTCATGTTTAAACTGGTTGTTCTTCTATGCCACTTCATCCATATCTTGATTACAGATGGGCTGTTGCTGCAGGATGACACTTGATTGCCTTTCTGCGAGTTTCAGTTGCAGCCTCCTGGGTACTGCACTGGAAAGCAGATTGAATTGAATGCCTCTGAAAGATAGGAATACAGGCAAAGTTAGCTGTAGTAGTGTCAATGATAAAAGACATGACATTTTTGTCCTTTGACATACATTTTGACATACATGAAGTACAAAAAGGTACAAAATAAATTGGTTGGTTTGTTTCAAGACACGCGCACTGCACAAAGCCGCACAGACATTACACAGGGATATGAAATTGGTACACATAAAACTTGATGATTAAAAAGGTCAAAACTTGCAATAATAATTGAAGTAAAAGCTACAATCACAATCATTTGATTTAAAATGACTTGACAAGTCACAAGACGCAACGCTCCTATTCACTTAAGAAAGGTTTTTATGCTTTCATTATCCTCCACATATCAACCAGCTTGATACCAGGCTGTGCAATAGTGTGTACATAACCCCATGTTGCCATTTTATTAGAGCAAGTGGGGTACAACAACAATGCTGATGTCAAACCCACATCTGCAACCCGTACTGCGGTTTCAATCACCTTACAAGCACACCTTCTGGCAGTTTGATAGGCAGAATGGTCATTACTACTTTCTCCTCATATTCAACACATATTCCCTTTATACAGATATAGTTTAGACCTGGTTATGGCAAGCATTTTCGAGAAAAGATATGATCAAAGTCCAAGACAAAGGTCGAGAGAAACAACACCAACATAAAACACCGACTATGTAGCACTAATACTGTCAAATTCATAAAAATATATACATGAGTCGATTAGAAATTCACTGTAGATTTCGAAAATGGTGTCAAATGCCACTCAAATACCTCCATTCGCATGTACGAAGCAATAAAACACTGACCTTCAATTCCGCGTGCCATTCTCCATAGGCCACTGTGTATTAAATAACGCGTTCACTGATAGCAAAAAATGAGACCCACATATGACGCGTTTGCTACCAGCCAATCAGCGCTCGAGATGCCGAACGCTGATTGGTGGAGAGGGCCGTCGTTAGCAGTCCATTACACGTTGTTTTCCTTGAACATGTGCGTGAGCGCTGATGCTGCTCACGGGCTGTTGCCATTTTTCGTAATGCTGAAGGCACGGGAGCGAACCCCCCTGGCCCAGACCCACAAGACGGCGACATACTGACCGCGACCACCGCGACCAAGGTCATCTTCAGCATCTATAGAACCGTGACAAGCTTCAGGTGGCGTCATTATTGTCAGTTGGTAACGTCGCCAATTACCGGTGTCACTTGTCAGGTTGTTCTATATACTCTGGGTGGCAGTGTCACAGCGAAGACAGAACAGTTCGGTGACCTCCCTCGTCCTGCTGGAGTCGAATGAGCGAGCTTTCTGACGCCGAGGCCAGCGTCAATGGACTCGTGCAAGAGGTGAGTGACGACTGTGCACGGGGGCCTTGCTACTGGCTTGCAAAGGTTAATCAGTATCTCGGAGATATCAGTATCTCAGGAGTCAGGCTCACCAGTATCTGCACCGTTTATCCCGTCAGTCTGTACCGTCTACTACCCAACTGTGCCGTTTATCCTCACTCCTCTGTACCGTGTACCGTTTACCGTTCACCAAAATTGTACCGTTTATCCTCCGTAGGTCTACCGTATACCCAATTGTACCGTTTACTGTTTACCCTCTGTACAGTATGTCTTAAAAGTACCGAGTAACGGTGAATCCATCAAGCCTGACCGAGGAAAAGCCTGCTAAATTTGAGTCACCGAAGCAATTGACATTCTCGTCCATTCCCCAAGTCAATTGGTTCGGTGACTTTCAAATTAAAGCAGGCCCTTCCTCGGCCAGGCTTGATGGATCCACCGTCACTTTGCGCGGTTCTTTAAGACAGACTGTACTGTCTACCGTATACCTACCCAACTACCGTTTACTGTTAACCCAAACTGTACCGTTTTCTGTACCGTCTTCCGTATACCCAACTGTCCCGTTTACCGTTCACCAAAACTACCGTTTACCTTCTGTATCGTCTACTGTACACCCAACTGCACCGTTTACCGTTTGCCCTCTGTACCGTCTACCGTAAACCCAACTGTACCGCCGTTACCGTTTACCCAAAGTGTACCGTTTACCCTATGTACCGTTTTCCCAACTGTACCGTTTACCCTCTACTTCTATCGTCAGCTACCCGTTACTGTACCGTTTGCCGTCTACCCCGTCTACCCCCCATGCACCGTTTACTCATCTGATAACCCTGTGTCCCCTCATGTCCTACAGTACCTGGAGACGGCCGGTCTGGACCAGTCAGCGGCCACCTTCTCCGGCGAGTGCCGCCGGCTCGGCCGACCGGTCCAGCCGCCCCCGCCGGCCTCCTCCGATACAGACTCCGGCTCACAGGAGCAGAGCCTGGCCCTGTTCGACCGCGGACGAAGATCGGCCTTCTTCCAGGCGAGTGACGGACGGATGGCGAATGAGTGGTGGACGGATGGCGAATGAGTGGTGGACAAATGACGGATTACGCATGAGTGTTTGACGGATGGCGAATGAGTGGTGGACGGATGGCGGATGACGATAACTGAGGACGGATGACGGATGACGATCGTCGATCGGTACTGGGCAGATGGCGCATGACGTATGAGTGGTGGGCTGATGACGGACAATTGGTGGTAGACGGATGACGGAGAACGGATAACGGATGACTGGTGGGCGAGGACATACTATCAGTTAGATAAGATGGTCAGGAGGTATTCCGTATTACCTACTCAATCGACTGGAGGTGGTGACGGATGGTCGCCTGCTTTGAGCGCAGTATGTTTTTCGTGCATGAATATGACCGCTTATCACGCAATCGGGACCGATCAGTGGGCTCGCTTTATGTTTAAATTTTAGCATATTAATATATTATGTAAGGTTCCGTTTATGATTTCTCACTGCCTCCGGGTGATAAAGGGCCCAAGTGGCCATGGCTATTGGTTATCTCATTAACATACACTGCGCGGATTATCTTATGGCTGTTCTTTATAGGTACTCTGATCTGACGCTGATCGGCTGTGTTTCAGATGTTGGAGTCGGTGACGCCGGCGCCGGTGCTGCAGGGTGTCCAGTACCGGCGGCTAGAGTTCCTCCTCAACGTCTATTTCGCCGTGTACCCGCTGCGCCGGAGCCGGCAGTCGGGCAGCGCCGCAGGGTACATGACGGCCTTCAGGTCAGTGAGGGGGTCAGCCCCGGTATATAGCCTCTTCATGACCGACCTTCAGGTCTGTGAGGGGGTCAGTCTCGGTATATATCCTCTTCATGACCGACCTTCAGGTCTGTGAGTGGTTGGTCGAGGTATATGGCAACCTTCAGGTCAATGCGGGGGTCAGGTGGGCTACAAGTGGCTGTGGCTACATAACAGTCCAGCGTGGCTACATAACAGCTTTCAGAAGGTCAGCCCGGATGACCGCTTTCAGGTCAGTAAGGGTGAGCCTGACAACGCTTGTAACTATACAACGGCGCCCTTAGATTTATACGGGTCGCAGTGTTGCCTTTTTCACCAGTCATCGATGACCATCGGTCGGATTCGAAGTTAATATGTTGTCAAATTTGTTGCAATGCTATAAACTGCCGGTCTGTAGCACATTCGCTCATCTCATTCACACGCAAACAATGATCCACTCTATGTAAATCCCAGTCATGTAATAGTGGACCCTATTAGCCGCCGACATGCGTTGCATGGGCACCACGTGCATAACAGGCTCCGGACAATTTAATCCCCCAACCGTCCTGCTATCATGTATGCATGCGCGCATTAACACGAATCCATGCGACATTTATCAGTCCAAGAAGCCTGAAATCGTGTCCACTAATTATAAACGGTGCTGCCATTTCTCCGTAACCTGACATAAAATTACCATGGCTCATGTATGCGCACGGTAAATGTCGCTTCTGCGAACTGACTGTCGGGTCTTTGGCACCTACAGGGATTATTTGGAGAACAAAGGCAAACAGCTGGCCGGCAACGAGGAGCTGCTGCCGTTCTTCGCGCTGCCATACATCCCGGACCCCAGCAAGCACCCCTCCTTCAGACAGCTCTTCCAGGTAGGCTTTCTTAGGTCTGACCGACCGGACCGTGCTCCGTATGCGCAGGAGTATATGTATGACGTGTGTAATATATAGGGATGTATGTGGTAGCCAGAGATGAAGTGTTTTGAGCACAGACGCGTCCATGGACTTCCAGCTGCTGACTGATACGTTTACGTTATCTGTATAAGGTCTTTTGGTCGTAGCAATTGATGGAGGTATTATGCGGATTGTATGTACGCGGATTATGCTAATTGCACAGTCATCGTGCTATGTAAGGCAAAGCTCCCATGAGCCACCATCAATGGACCTCTGAACAGCTTTCGGTCAATAAAAGCTCACATTTCGCATGATTACAGAGTTACGGGACATTTCTTTATTGACCCGGCGCTGATTTCCCTGGGTTATATGGTCCTCGTTGTTTTGTTTGAAGTACGGACAGCAGTCCACCCACACACCATAAATGGATTGACTGCTCTGACGGTCGGGTGTCTGTTGTTTGCTGGCCGCTGGCCGGGTAATCGCTGGCCGGCAGCTGCGCCAGGTGTGGGCGATATTAGCCCGGCCCGCACCAGTCGATACGGGGACGTATGGTGCATACTGTCCGAGTTATTACGGCGCCGAGTCACGGCTGACGGACAGACTGAATGCCGTCAGCGGCCAGTCGCCTGACCTGATTGATGTGACGCTATGGTCATGCGTCAGATGACGCAGATCGCCCGCTGATTGCGTGATCTGGGCGTCGAAGAACGTATGACGAAACGGCAACAAACGACGAACGTAAAAAAAAATGTTGACAAAAAGGCGCACAGCTGCTGCGATGAGTTTTCTGCTGAAGCATTTTTCAACGACAGTATGCCTGGTATTTCATCAGACTCTGAGTTATTGGGACTTCGATCCAGCCTCCTGACTGAGCCAGATACTTGTCAATTGTCATGATCGAGTGCTGAACTTTGACCTCAGCTCAGTGTCTGTGAGCTCTGACGGCGGTGTTCGGTTCAATGGATATCTGGTTACGCTGCGTTTCGCCCGGCGGGGGCGGGGGCGATATCGATTCCAACCGACCGCCGCGCCGGCGTCCGGTGGGGTCCGTTACTACGACGCTCCATGTGTACAGTGTACACGGACCGATAATAGCTGATCAGTCACTGCAGGATACCGGTCAACAATACCTATCACTGCAGGGTATTGGTCACCGGTCAGTAATAATCGAGTTATCACTGCACGATACCCGTCAACAATCGACTTAGCATTGCAAGGTGCATACCTACTGGTCAACAATAACTGGCTGAGCACTGCGGGAGCCGGGATGCCGATCGACAATACCTGAGTTACCACCGCATGGTATCAGTCAATATCAACTGGCCGATCCCAGCGAGATACCGTTCAATATAACACTTCACTGCGTTAGTTCGTTTCAGATAGCTTTTCCCAATTACGATGAACATTTTGCTTCATATGATATACCTACGTTTAACATCAACAATAAATGGTAAACGTTCTTTTTACGGACGTGGGACCAGTCCTGTCCTGCTGTTGACAGCGGTCAAGTTTGTCGTCCCGGCGCTATACCGGCGGTGCTATGCGTGTCGGCTTTGTATGTTTCCAGACCTCGGTTCCAGGTCCTGGTCCCTGGAACACGGCTCCTCGTTAGTCGTTAGTGAGTCGAGCACATTTAGCGTGACTTTGCTGGCTCGGCGACCTTGAGGTATCGTATCGACCGCGCCGCACTGTTGAACCGACTTAGCTCACTTAGGTGACCTTCCGTTCAACTCGGCGCTATGGAGAAGTCACCAATAGTCCACTCTGCAACGTGAAGTGCGTTTTGATCAGTGGATGGAACAGAACAACGGCCGACCAAACAGCGTGGCTGCGGTGCTGCTATATAGTCACGACCAATGGCCATCTTAAGTCTCGACAGTCGACGGAACAAGAACTGGCAGTGGACGGATATTGGATTCGAGAGACCTGGTGACCGATTATGATCGGTATAGCTCATACTAGTGAAGTTATTAAATCCAACCACGATCAAAATTGTTTGATAAAGGATATCAGTGGTGGTGGAGTCAGGATGGCCCCGGCGGGCTCATTCTAGAGCGGATTGGACGAGTTCACGTGTACCATGTATCGATTCTAGTACATCAAATCGATAACCTTGAACCGTGAGGCGAGCTTAGTTTAGTTCAGATTATCCCATTCCGCCTCAACATATCAAACAATCCACTCCAGCAACATCCATTCATATGCAAATGCCCCCAATGTCTACAGCACTAAATTTTGCCCTAATTGGCTAACTGGCTGTTCAGCATGTCAAGCGGCTGGCATGGTCGGCTGTTAGGCAGTGCTCCATCGGAACTGTTGTCCCGACTACCGGCCGGTGTTTGTTCAAACACCCTCTGGCACCGCTGGCACGTCAGGCCCGCGCCGACACCCGCCCATGGGCGTTCGACGGACGTCACGGGGGTCACGGAGGTACAATTCAGGGTCACGGTGGCAATTCATTGAGGCTGCATGGGGAACGTGTCGGCTAGGATTGATTGATGTGATATGTCAATGAGGGTCATTTTTTTCGCAATGCGGCACAGCGAGTAGAAATGAGGAACTGGATTGCATATTCAGCATTATAAAAGTGCAGCTCCTCTATGAATCACTTTCGGTACCGGAAGAGTTTGTGAGCCTTCCTTATCCCCGTTCCAGGATGAATGGGCCGAGTCGCTGCGCTCCGAGGTGTCCAGTTTCGTGCACGAGATGACGAGCGGCGCCGGCTCGCCGTCTCGGCTGGTGCAGCTGTACCTCAGCCGGGACCTGCTGGCTCGTCAGGCGCACCACCTACTGGTGCGCAGCCACGACCGCCTGCTGGAGACGCAGCGGCACTACAAGCGGCTTCGGCGGCGGCACCTGAGACTCCAGGAGGACTACAGGTGGGAGGCGGTCGGGGAGACCCGCGGTGGTGGGACGAGCCGGGCGACTGTTTAGGTTCATTGGTATGATATCATTGCCGCTAACCACAGCCTGTGCTAACTAACCACAGAGAAGTCTGTCGGTGTCCACAAACATGTGTGACCTACCCATTGTCTGCATCGTCAAGGCCACCTCGATCGTCACCATTTTCAGGCGTTTGATCGGTGTGACCGGTGAGCTGACCTCCGCCCTGGAGGTGTCTGTTCGCGAGGGAGGGGTCGACCTGGAGGCCACACTCGGCGCCTGCTGTCAGATCTTCCCTCAGCTGTTCTCAAAGACCATACAGCAGCACGCCACGGACCAGAACAAGGTAATGGTCGCGAGACGGCAAACAAAGTGTTGAAGGTCCTGATTTCACTTTTACGGCCGCCGAACAATTGGACCGGCTCATCGATTTACTCGGAGCACATTAGTTAGGAAGAAACATATACCGTTCTTTGACTGAATTAACACCGGTCTTTGACGTAGTTAATGGCACTACAGGTAAATGCAGTGTCACAAGATACAGCCATATGTCAAATAAATGCTCCCAGCTCAGTCGGTGGTCCGTCGTAGCCCCTGGGACTGGATCTATATCCGTCATCCTGTAGCACGATACAGGCCCCCTGGTCCGCCTTCATTCGTTCGTGGTCCGTTATAGACCCCCCTCCCCCATGTCTGCCCCAGTCGTCTCCGGAGCTGATTCTCCGTCAGTCGGTGGCCCGGAACAGTCTCCTTCGGTCTGTCTCCATTAGTCAATGTCTCTCCCCTCCCCAGTCGTCTCCGGAGCTGATTCTCTGTCAGTCGGTGGCCCGACACAGTCTCCCTCGGTCTGTCTCCATTACTCAATGTCCCCCTCTCTCCTTACAGTCATCTCCGGAGCTGATTCTCCGTCAGTCGGTGGCGCGGCACAGTCTCCCTCGGTCTGTCTCCATTACTCAATGTCCCCTTCTCTCCTTTACAGTCATCTCCGGAGCTGATTCTCCGTCAGTCGGTGGCCCGGCACCAGGCGGACAGCGTCCTGCCAGCCGCCGCCCGCTTCCCGCTCGACCTGGCAGCGGTGAGACACCACCTGAGCGAAGACTCCGGCCGCGCCAAGGCACTCCTGCTGCAGGCACTCAGGCGGGTGAGTACAGTCATATAGGTTAGCCATAGGATTTAGTTAGCTCAGGTACATGGAGGTAATGGCATCTCATATGTCAAAAGAAGATATTGTTGCATCTACTTGTCTGTATAAACTGAGAGTCCTGTACTTATGCTACGTCTTTTCCGTTTGTCATGTAAATGCCTTCTGGTCATCTTTATAACCTAAGTCGAATTCATTACGCAGACCCAAGCCCTGAAAAGGAGCAACGATTCTCTTCATACCACAGACACGACTAATCATTGTTTGATTGAGTGTGGCAGTAGGTGAATTGGTAGGATCACCAACAGTTATTACAATAACAAACGACATAATTAATATGCGTCGAACACCCATGTAACCTGGGGACCGAGCATGTGATTACGTCCATGTGGAAAGACTGCCTATCATGGTAGAAATATAGGCTAAATACTGAGTAAATAGCATCGCATTGCCCTCTGGGTCTTCTACAATATACAATATCTTATATCAGTGAATGCATAGACGCTAGGGGAACGCTAGTAGGTACCTATGTGCGACGTGCGTGCCTTGTTATGCATCGCTATTTACCGAGATTTGAAAACTCCATTGTCTAAACCTGGAATAAAAAAAAAAGAAGCAAATCCTTCGGAGGTAACGGGAAAACGTAAATAACCAGATTCAGGCATTGCGGCACAGCATGTTAGCAGGCGTAGACTACTAGTGGCACCTGTCGTCGGGATTTGGAACTATGTTAGGCTTTGCGGTACAGCATGCAATCAGGCGCTCGAATGTGGCGCCATCTATTATTATTATTATTATTATTGTTTATTCAGCATCGTCATGCGACAAAAAGATACATACCCCCCCCCCCCCCCCACCCACCCACCCACCCACCCACACAGTTAAACAGCACTCAGGAGGTTAGTAGTCGTAACAGGCGCCGCGAGGCCTGACAGTTGCTTGCCAAAACCATCTTCAAACTGTCTATAAGACCACTTTCTTGGAGTGGTGCCCGGACTATGTCGTGATCGACGTACCCAGCAGCGATGTGCATGATAGCGCCGAAGTTCCCACCACACAGATTATATACGTGGCCAATAAACGACCCATCTAACTGCTCGGGGTACGTAGCAAGTCTGGCCAGTCCAGTGACGTAGGCTTGGCGAAGACGGTGGTCAGCGCGGAAAGCATTACGGAATGCGCGGAGGGCATCACCTCGCAGCACCTCACCGATGCGAGGTACCCCAGCAGCAATCAAAAGAGCCGTATGGTGCGCAGAACGCGGCAGACCCAGCGCTGCCTTGATCAGCGAAGCCTGTCGCGAGTCTAGACGCTCAATGTCGGCGGAACTGAGGGGAGCCGTCTCACAGCCGAAGATCAGTGCCGGCAGCACTACTGTCTTCCAGAGGAAGATTTTGTCAGCAGCAGTCAGGCGGTTGGTGAAATTGCCCAGGGGTGTGAGGCCATAGAATGATGCACAAGCACGCCTGATGCGCTGAGCCACGTGGCTGTCTGTGCTGAGGTTGTCATCAAGCACCGTACCGAGGTGCTCGGAGGCTATGGAGGAAACTATAAGCTGGCAGGCAATGGCCCTTGATGGACGTTTTCAATTAGCCTCTTTAGCTCACGTCAGCGGCCGAAGCAATGGTACTCTATTGTGGTCAATGAACATTGCATTCATGTTAATTATGTGATTGGCACTGGGGTCAGGGATGTTATGTGGACCGTATAATATTCTCCTGCTGTTGTTTGCTATGGTGAGTGCCGGTGAGTGGGCGGTCCACGTTTACAGGCAAGTGTCATGTGAATTTTCATGATGAATTTTGTCAAGCCGACTCATTGATACGCCGTAACGAATGCGTCTATGTAGTTTGTGCTCCCGTATCCTTTTAAAAAACTCCCCATCCAACTACGTGCGTCCGCCATCAGCGTGTGACGCGCTCCTCGAGTCGTCTGGAGGTGGTCGAGGAGTACGTGGACGGCGACCTGGTGGGCCTGCGCCACGTGGACGACTACACGCGCCACGTGCTGAGCGAGCTGACGCCGCCGGAGCCGCACGTGGTACAGCAGAGCTGGGCGCGACTGCTCAACTGCATGGCCTCGTTCGGCGCCGGCAGGACCTACCTCTGCGGGTGCGTTAACGTGGGATGTATCGGTGCGTCGGTCAGGGGGGGGGGGGGGGTGTAAGGGTGGGTGAGCCTTGATTCCGTCTCGGTGCTACGAGGCATAACGTAGTATTCATCTTTAGGGTTGATGCGGCAGGTACGGCTCATAAATCCGATCGGATGACAAGATCGATCTCTATTATTTCGATGTGTTAGCGGTTTGTTGATCATTATCTCGGAACTGCACCACATTGTGAAGTAGTTTGCGTAGTGACTTAAAGCAAGGTAATATGTAAAACCGTTGCGAATGAAGTAACCTCAGTATCGTGTGCTCCGCTACCCGGCAGTCACCAGCCGCTGTTGGACACGCTGCTGAAGGTGCTGCAGTACCAGAAGCTGGACGCCGTGACGCTAGACATGGTGCTGGCTACACTGCAGAAACTCTCGCTCAGGTATGTAACTAACTTTTCGAGAACGTCTGTGCCAGAATTGTGTCATCGATCGTGCATCATTACTTTGTCTGGCCAGTCTAGCCGCCCAACCTGTGCCCGTTTCTTGCACCTCTTATCAGTTCGCTTTGTGACAGCCCAGCGGTCAGTAGGACAGCGAACGGCCGCTGGAATGCGGTCAAGGTGCCCCGTTCCTCGCATACCACGAATTGAATGGTTTGCACCAGGGATGCGGAGCCGTGGAAATTTCAGACGGCTCCGGCTCCGGCTCCGGCTCCGGAGAAAAAAATCGGCTCCGGCTCCGGCTCCGGCTCCGGGTGAAATGTTGTGGCGGCTCCGGCTCCGGCTCCGGCTCCGAGTAAAATGGTACGGCTCCGGCGGCTCCGGCTCCGGCGGCTCCGGCTCCGACTCAGTACATCCTCTATGCAATCAGTTAGATACGGGTGGAAGAAAAATGGGATTGGTTATACGCGTTACTCTTTGCCATGACCGGCTCACCGCAACCCCGCGCAAACGCACCTCGGAGAGAACTGGCAGAACAAAGGACTAGGAAGCGATGGCATTGGAAACGCAGTCGCCGCGAATTGGAGTTCACTGAACCATCGTAAGCTGACACCAGTCTCGGCTGCATTGGGGGGTGGGAGTGGGGGTGGGGGGTGGTGGGGGGGGGAGGGGAAGAGACGGTGCTGGGAGTCGCAGTCCACTGCACTGGCTTGAAAACAATGGCCGTCACCTGATGACCGGTCCTCATGTTCTGGGCATGCAGTAGACGTGGGGGGGGGGGGGGGGGGGAGGAGCAGACAAGAAGTTGATTGCGTAATGCGTACTGTGGGATACTGGGGATATTCGGCTTTTTTCATTCACTTGATGGCCCATGACGTAAGTAAAGTACCATATGTTTTACTGCCTTGTACTGTCAAACCGAACTAGGTCAATTATTTTTTTTCCTCTTCAAAAAATAAAAAGGAGCCGGAGTCGCCCCCTTTTTTGGCGGCTCCGGCTCCGGCTCCGGCTCCGGGCTATATTGTTTCACGGCTCCGGCTCCGGCTCCGGCTCCGGGCAAAATATGCCGGCTCCGGCGGCTCCGGCTCCGACTCCGGCTCCGGCTCCGCATCCCTGGTTTGCACTTCTCCAGACTTCACAACATCACATTGTTACTGACTTGCGCAGCATATGTAACTAACGTTGTTACAACGGTAGCGTTATTATCAGGAATTGTTAACTATTCCTTGGTAGTGCTACCATTTACACAGTTCATTTGTTCGTTCCGATTCGGGGAACGACGTAATTACTGTGATGGCTTTAATTATGTATCTGTCTACTGTGCAATGTGTGCCACTGCCGACGGTCCGCCATGCTGACCTTACATGTGACCCACTGACCTCTCACATCCCTCCTCCCTCGGCCCGGCAGGCGAGCCGCGCAGAGTCGGATGATCGAGTGGGGCATGGTCGAGTGGCTGGTGGGCTTCCTGCAGGACCACGCCGCCATCGCCCCCTACACCCTCGAGTACGGCTGTGCGCTTCTGATGAACCTATGTCTGCGCACGGCTGGCCGACAGAAGTGCGCGCCGCATGTCAACTCGGTGCTCAAACTGCTCACCGACCTGCTCGGCTCCAGTTACGCGCAGGTCAGCGGCGGGCGCCAGGGTCATGGGTTGTGCACTAAGCAGACTACCGCCAAAGTTTGATAGACGGGGCCAGACCAAAACTTTGGCCGGATAGGCGTCACCAACGTATTTTCCAAGACAATATCTATTTTTATGAGGTCGCTAAAACGCTTGCAAAAGAGACACCTGAACATGGTTAAATACGTCTGTGCATGGGATTGTTACCAGTTAGCACGTAATGGTACGCACTTTTGATGTAGAACGTTCATGTAACGAAGGGCTAACAGATCAGTCACATTTCTCAGAACCTCGGAAGACGACCATCCCTCGTGTCTTTGCCAGGTGCTTCCCTACGTGAACGGCACCCTGTACAGCCTGCTGGGTCAGCCGGAGATCCGGGCCCGGGCCACCAAACTCGGACTGGGACAGGTCCTCGAGTACTTCATGGAACAGGGGTAAGTAAGACTCATTAGAGCACGGAATTCTGTTGAGGTGTCTGGGCTGGGAGGTTATCACAGTGCCGTCAGTTCACAGATATTTTCAGCTGTTGATCTGGTTTCGCTCTTTTCTATCTAGCTGCTCGTTTTTGGTCTTGGATAAGAGCACTATCTGCTGGAGAGTTCCATGCTAATTCGCGCTGCCACGAGTAATGTGTGGTGTTTTGTTTCTGTCAGCTCGACGGACCTGCGTCGCCAGCTGGAGTACATAATGCGTCAGTACCGCGGCGAGGGGGTGGACGGTGCTGCCAGTGACTCTGAGGACGGCGATGAGGACATTGAGGACACAGAGGTGAGACGATGAGGACACGGAGGTGAGAGGAAGGGGACACAGAGGTTAGAAGGTGAGAACGACAAGATGAGGGACGGTAACATCAAGATGAGAGGATAAGGACACATGGGGAGATAAGGACACGGAGCTGAGAGGTTATGCACATGCGAGGTAAGGGGACCGTGGTGAGGATGAGGCCGTCGATGTGAAAATTCGTTGTAATTTGTAGCACTGTCCCGATATGCCACCAAAAGTCTGCAATCAATCAGAACATGCCGTAAAAACGCCAACATATCATAGCCGTCCCAGCAGACTGATTACCGTTAACAAAAACAAGCCGATCACCCCCACAAAAACGTTACGCGTGTTGTGTCCCCGTTCCGTTATTGACGTACGGTGAAATGTGTGCGTCCCAGTTTCTGGAGGAGGACATTGACGGTGACGATCCGGTGGTGGCCGAGGCCGGGGAGCTGGACGGAGAGGAGCTGCTGGCGACGCTGGCCCTCGGATCAGGTATACATAGGTGGTGTGGAGTTTGGGAGGTAGATGAGGAGGAATCTTGGCTGAGCTGTGGAACTTGAAATGTTCATCTTAGCGTGATGAACTAGACATCGCATCGTTAATTACCGTATTGGGCGACCTGACGATGTAAGTATAACGAAACTGGTGAAGCTACTAATCGGCTTGTACGGTTAAGGAGACTATGAAAATTGATAAGGTTTATATGTCATGTTATTATATAAAATGAAAAAAGCTCATCGGCGAAACTAGCGTGTTAATAATATATATTCCGCGCCAATGCAAAGCATTGCCGTCTATTCCGGCTCAAGCCAACTGACTCGGTTTGTAGACCCTTTTCTCAACACTTGCCACCCCTGTTCTCCACAGTGACCGGCGGTCAGGTGGCTGCCGTTCCCCGCACGGACCGTGCCCGCTCCGCTCGCCGTGGGAGGCGGCCTCGTCGGTCGGAGCCGAGGGGAGGAGAGGACGGGCAGCGGACTGGGCAGACGGCCGGACAGACTCCCTCAGCCGGGGAGGGAGGGCAGCGGACGGTACCGCTGGCTAGGGAGGCTCCAGCGGCAGCCGAGACAGCACCTGAGGACTCCAGAGGAGCGGTTGGAGGGGAACACAGGACTCCGCGACGGCAGAAGACCCGGTCACAGTCCGAGGGGTAGGTAGGAGTGGCTGGATGCTTGAAGCATCAGTTTAAAAAGTCTGAAATGTGCTGCGGCATGTAGCGCTACTACAAATACTTAAGCTTCCTTTCTTTATCTAGTTGCCAATTTTCGATGCTTCCCAATACACAACATTCGGGCCTAATGTGACCATCGAGCTAATGTGAAACAATACGATCAACCTTTCAAACCGTGTAAACCGCCACTCCTTATCCTGTTTTTCCGTTTTCAGACCCCCACCTGAGCAGGCGTCCCGACAGGCTGAGAAGGAGGGGTCGGAGTCACCCCAGCTTCCGGGCACCTCCCACAGCGACTCAGTGCTCGTCACAGGGTGAGTTTTACCTCGACAGGACAGTTTTCTGTTCAACTTGCTAGGTCGGGCGGGGTGATCCAAGAGGCATGGTAAACGCGCAGCAACACAATTGTGCCCTGCGTGACCGAACGGGACGCCCATGTGCCAACACGAATTTATGGACCTTCACCGAGGAAGGAGGTGGTAAAATATTCACGCTGTGCCGAAATATTCAGTGGCACGACGCGACACCAGCAGCTGGTGTGTTCCCAGGCGCGAGGACTCGGTGTCAGCGACGCCAGCCGTTCCCGGCTCGACCCCGGTCACCAAGAGCCACTCGGATGCAGAGTTGGCCAGACGGCCGGCGGCGGCGACCGAGCGGGACCGGCTGCCGCAGATCCCCGCCGCTGCCGCCGCTGCCTCCGCCGCTGTCCGGCCGCTGCCGGAGGTCACCCCGCACCGCCGGCGGAAGAACACCAGCGACCGCGGCGCCGTCCAGCGACCGACGAGCAAACCACCGTCTCAGGTGGCCCCGCTGCGACTGCTGGAGCGTAGGCCGACGCTGGACGAAGGAAAACTGACTCGAGCGTTACATGGTGAGCCGAATTAAGACCTCCGTGTACCGTAAAAGATGTATGACAGTGGCAATGTGATGGATATTTACGATTTCTCGTGATATTTTAGCACACTTCTGAGGTATTATCTTTCCTTTTTCAGGTAAGACCGGTAACTCAGGAGAAGCGTCGAGTAGCGACTCCAAGAGCCGTCGGCGGGAGACCGGTCCGGTCAAATCTCCTCGGACCAGCGACCAGAGCCCTCAGGTGCGGCGTCGGGCGGCTGGCAGTACCTCCAAACCTCCGGAGCCGCAGACTCGCACCTCAGAGTCAGCAGCCTCCGCTCCAAAGGCGCCTCCCGACTCCCACCGACCGGACCAGGAGAACAAGACGTCAACATCAGCTCCGGCCGCCGTCTCTCGAAAACTGGCGGCGGCAGCGGCGCTGACCTCTGCAGTGACCCCGGCGCTGGCAGTGACCCTCACTGCCGGACCGCTGCCCGCGTCTGAGGGCGGTACCGGTGCGCAGACGGCTCCACCGGCTTCGGCTGCGGGTCAGCAGCCAGTTCAGCCTCCAGCGAATGGAGAGCACGCTGCAGCCACTGCCGCTGCGCCGGTGTCAACTAGGGAGAGTCAGCCGGCCGGCACCCAGGCGCAGACCACTGCAGGCAGAGCCGCAGCGCCACCCACAGCGCCACCCACAGCGCCACCTGCGCCGGTCCCAGTGGTGCCGCCGGCGATGACCGACCCGCTCATCCAGAGACTGCCCGTGCCCGCGTGAGTAGACAGTCCGTAACGTGTCGTCAGAGTCGGGGTCGGAGTCAGTGCAATGGAAGGCAGGTGCATATTCACAGCATAATATCTCCGGTTATTATTGGGCACTAATGACTTAAAAGAGCCGACGCTCATTCCTGAAGGTTGAAATGCTCTCACTATGTGGCTCGAGCGGTAGAAATGGCTGAAAAAGAAGTGCCCACTGAAATCATGCATAAGTTTGAAGTTTGCGCTGTTCTTCATGCTTGGTTTCGATAGCCATGACGTCGTGGATAACCCCATTCCTGGCTAACATGTATCTCGTATTTGTTTCAGAGTCAGCGACTACCTGGCAGCATTTAGCTCGCGACCTCGAATAATGCGGACACCTCCGCCCACCGCGAACCCGCAGGAGTCGCAGAGGGATTATCAGAGGGACTCTGTGCTGCCTCCCATTGACTGACGGCCACAGCTGGGGGACCCAAGCCGTCATCAGCCTCACAGGGACCCCCAGAGGAGCACGCAGGGCGCAGCGCTGCCTCGTATTAACTAACGCTGTCCAGAGTCGTGCGGTGTTGGACTTTATCAGTGACCTACGGGCTCCGTGATCTGGAGTTGGTGTTTTCTGATGATAACGAGTGCCTTGAACATTGTAATCAAAATGTAGCGCTATGCCATGGATGTGCGTTATGTTTGCCGAAGATTTGCTGGTGAAATGTCGATTTGTTGGCGTACTTCAAGATATTTCGCTGTATTAGATGTGCTCAGTACGCTCTTCGCAAGGCTCATGCTCAGAGTTAAAGCTTGCTTTTGTAAGCAGCGATGTGTTTATCTTCAAAATCGTGTGATAATTTCAATGCGATAGTGATGTTGAATTATGCTAGATGTCCAATGAATGTGATATTTGAAAATGGAACATATCATTGATGTGACCTGACACGTTTTACTTGCAGGGTGACGATGAACATGTACTTTGTGTGGTGCCTGCGTGCATTAAAACGTTACCAGTGCAGACGCAGTCATGCCGTTTTGGTTGGTGGTCAGTGGTCACCTCAATGTCTGCTGGGTCGTTCCTGGGCTTGTTGAAAATTATTTTGCATGGATCATATACGGTGCATATGCGGTGTACGTTAGCCTCTTACATCTCTGCAGCTTGAGAAACAGACCTGCCCAGACAAACTTACGATGCCAATTGCAGCAGACTGCAATGCATGCAAGGGTAGGGTTTCATGAGCCTTGTAACTTGTCTGTTCGGTCAGTAAAACACAAGGTCACCTCAGAGACATGAAACATCGTTAACTCGGAGAGCGTATCCAGCTGCGGCACGTGGCTATGACCCTGAAAATTCGAGACCGATATTGAGCCTCGGGCTCGCGCCCTGTGGACCTTGGCTCGCGCAGGCTCGGGGCGTAGCTCATAAATGAAGTCCGTCAGGATTGAAGTGAGATTTGCTATGTAAACAGGGGAACCAAGTATTTATGTTGACATCTTTCGATTTCCAAACGTAGATACCTAATCTGTCGTGATTGCTGGTACCTTTGGGATTTTGATTAGCGGTTCGGATTCCATGATTCTGACTTCACCATTTCGGAGACAACTGATACGATGGTGGCTGGTGGCAAGAAGGACAAAAACAACAAGTCGGCCGGCAAGCGGCGCAAGTCTCTGATGAGCGCCGTGGCGATGAACCGGGACGCTAGCCTGGCGGCGAGTTCGTACATGCTGACGGGCGACCTGGCCGTGGACCTGCCGGCCGTGACGCAGGAGATGGGCGTCGAGTTCACGCCGGCCGTGCAGCTGGTGGTGCTGGCGCCGCTGACCAGCAGTCCGGCCGGCGATGTCGAGTCGCCGCCGCCGCCAGAGCTGACCGTCACCGAGGAGCCGGCCACCGAGACGCCGCCGCCGCCGCCGCCCAGCCGGTACGAGCAGCAGCTGCAGGCCATCACCGAGCGGTACGAGTTCTACCAGCCGCGCGTGCGGCTCCAGGTGCGCGGTGACGTGGTGCAGCGCGACTCCGAGTCCGGTCAGCTGGGCAGCGCCGCGCACGGCGTCCAGGTGGCCGGCTGGCGCTGCGAGGCCGAGCACCTCACCGCCATGCGACGCTGCTTCAGCGCCATGGAGGCGCTCTCCACGCTCAGCCTCAACAACGCGGCGCTGGACGAGCCGGCCGTGGCGGCCCTGGTGGCGCTGCTCGCGGACCGGCCCACCGTCACCACACTCAACCTGGACTCGAACCCGGGCATCGGCACGCAGGTGACGCGGCTGCTCGCGCCGCCGGCCAACGTTCTGTCCCTCTCACTGCGCAACTGCTGCGTCACTGACGAACAGCTGGCCGAGTTACAGCCGATACTGAGCGAGCTGAATACTCACACCGAGCTGCGGTACACCTGCCTGCCGCTGCGCAGCCTCAACCTGGGAAACAACCGGCTGACGGACGCCGGCGCCGTCACCCTGGCCACCATCCTGCGCTCCAACAGACAGCTGCGGCTGATCGGACTGACCAGGAACCACATCGGCACGAAGGGCGCCCTGGCGCTGGCGGCCGTCCTGCAGCCTTTCGCCATGACGCACGAGGAAGTGGTGGTGAGCCGGCGCGCCCGAGCGGAGGCGCGCCGCGTGCTCGTCGCACGTGTCGAGAGCGAGCTGAAGGGACGCGGTTCGTGCTGCGCCGGGAAGTGCACACATACCAGCCGGCGTAGTGAGCCAGATACAGGGGACGGCCGGATCAGTCCGGCGGGCTCGCTCCGCAGCAGCGGCCAGCGGACCGGCTCCCGCTCGGGCCGCTCGCCGGCCAAACTCGCAGCGCCGGTGGCTCCGGCGGCACCACGCGGTTCGGACGCTCACCCCGTGCAGACCATCCGAGAGAGTGTCGAGTCGCTCATGTCGAGCGTGGTCCATCCTCTAATGACGCTGGTTCGACCGGAAAACGGCCGTCGACTGAACCCGGGCAACCTATCCCTGGCCAGTCTCAGCCTGGCGTACAACCCGGGTATACACCGCGCGGCTGCCACGGCCTTCCTGGAGGCTCTGCGGTACCAAGAGTCGGTGCCGGCTGAGGAGCAGGCGCGCCTGGGGCCGGGCCTGCTGCGGCTCTGTCTGACCGGCACGCCGGCCGACGGCGACCCGCAGCTGGCGGTGCTGCTGCTGCGCCGCCAGCCGGCGCTGGCCGAACCCGAGCCGCCGGCGGAGGACGAGGAGAAGAAGACGGGACGCGCCGGCAGACAGTCGCAGCTGGCGCTGGACGCCTCCCGGCGCACCGCATCGCGCGTGGGGAAGAAAAAGAAACTGAAGTAGAGATGAAGATGTGGATGAGTGAGTCGTTATGTGGATAAGGAAGTTGTTAGGATAACGGAAAATGTGTGCTCATTCTGACATATATTTCTCTCGAAGTCCAATGGCCCAATGTTGAACTATGCAAATCTTGCATCCCACACCATGTGTCGCTCACAGTTTCATGCTTAATCGTTTGAGTGTTGATGTTGCGACTTTGTTGACTTGCGATATTACAGCCACCAAAAGAAACCCAATGAATGCTTCATTGAATAGTCGAACTTCAGACTCAGTGTAACGGGTCCACTCTTGACCGCGTGGGCGCACTGGATAATTGGATTGCATCCGTGCGATTAGCTTAATCTAAATAACCACGTCCCATCCGTTCTCAATTGGACGGGCGCGACCTCAGACGTCACTGCCACCCCGGTTGGCCCGTCTGCCAGTGTCGGACAGATGACCCGCCCGATACGCGATCGGTCTATTTCCGACCCGGGCCCGCCGCTCGGCTGAACGGATCCAGAGACACGTGTCGACCGGGATAGGTTAGAGTCGGGAATTGTCCGACCCGACCCGAGTAGGTTCTCCGTTAGACTGGGCCGGTACAGACTGATGTGACTGAGACCAGCCCGAGCACTCCCCGTCAGACTGGGCCAGTTCAGAAAACTGGGACAAGCTCTCTGATGGAGCATTTGAGGCACCGGCACGAGCGGTCGGCACTCTGTTGGACTGGGGACTGAACGTCGGACTGATCCGAGCAGTCCCCAATCGGACTGAGACGGGATGGGCTTAAGATGACTGTTTGAAACACCCCAGCATTCAATATGTGGTGATGGTCGGGAGTTCATAAAACCTGGGATGGTTCGATTGGGTATTTCGGAACGTCGCATCTATCAATCGGATGGGTCGGATCGCAGCGACAGGCTTGCTATTGGCCAGAGGTTCAATGGGGGTCGAGCAAGTTCAGTACCCTCATATACGGCCTTGTTCAGTACTTCGGCAGGCTCGAGCAGGCTGAGGGACAGTCGTTTCGATGTTGGGGCGGATTGAACCACTGCCATCCACTGCGTTGGATCTGGTGATTGTCGAGGGATCACTGGAGACAGGGACAAATGATGCTCGTTACGGACACGGTAATAGGTCGACTAAGTTCGCTCTGCCAGTAACGATTCGATTGAACGCAGCGTGTCAGCGCACTGAGATAACGCAGCCGGTTTCAATGGCATCACGTCCAGCTAGCCACGAAGTCCATAATCCTTTCTTCCAGGTCTTCACAGCTACGAGAGACGGTTATTTCGGGGGCAATCAATACCCAGCTTAGTTCACAGTTGGAGTTGAAGTTTCAGCTCGCCCCGGAGAAACTTGACCGGTAGCAGCTAATATTGTTCACCCCTCGACACAAAAACTGGCGATAACAGAACGGCAACGTCACCTAGCAGCCCCAGATCAACATTGTAAGATTGGCGGCTGCCGACCGGCACTTGTATTGGTGCAAATACGTGGGATCCGACTCTTATCGATGAAGTGCGATCGATAATCCAGTGCGACCCGTTCAACAACGCCGAATCCTGAAATCATTGCTCGATTTCCTAACACCAACAAGTGGATTGCTCTGTGAGCTATGATAATCATAGGATAATATTTTTATAATGACTATCAAAACACCATTCTGACAAAAAGCGGGCCAGCTTCAAACAGAGCCGACTATTGCACGATGAGCTGAGTTTATTGATTACCACATGCCGGCGCATAAATGAGTCATGCAATAACAAAACGGCTAACGACCGATGGAACACTCACAGTCAAACACAAATAACATAAATGATAGGACACACTGGGCTTGCCGGAGGAACGGTTCAGCAATCAGCACCCATCCCGTAAGCCGTACGGCACAGACGATAACATAACGATACAATAGTCTGATACACTCACACAATGCACTCACGAGTTGCGCGTGGTCTGTTCCACTGTCATATTCAGACGAAACACACACATTGACGGTGGATTGTCACAATACATCGCGGGTGCTAAATACGTGAATAGTCATGTGTTGATACAGAGCCAACATGCCACGCTCCGATCATTATATCAGCGGTCCCGCGTACTGACGAATCAGTCGACTAGCTGCAGATGTGTTTACCAGAGTCAAATATTTATCAGTATCCCCCCACCAATCACACACAATTTTTGTCCATGCTACCCCCTCCCCCCAATAACTCCATCTCATGCGTCAAGGCGTTGACCTAAATTCTGAGTTGGTATCATTTGTATTATTTCTAACACTTTTCCTAAACTCGCTTCATTTGAAGAAATCATCGGGAATCGCATAGAAATTAACAAATCGCATTAAGTAAAGATAAATCTCGCCGAAAATAATCCTATGGCATTTTACACTAAGACGTATTCCTGAGCAGCTAGATACGCGCACACTTGTTCAGACGTCACCATCCTTGTACCCACTAATACCCTGCCTGTGATGTAAATCAAACGCACCGGTGCGAGGCACAGCGAACACCGGACCAGTTATTAGGACCTATATAGGAGCCAGTGCAGGACAGGAGCGGTCAACGCACACGTGTCAGAGGTGCAAAGAGTAGAAACGTGGGTAACGAAAAAAATCGGCTTAAATGAGTACCTATGTGCTAAATTACATTGATATTTAATTGATTGGTGAACAACCAAAACGGTTCAATTTTCGGCTGAATTGGCTGAAAACACATTCAGCGCCCATTGCTAATGCGCGGATAAGGATTATGGAGAAAAGGGTGGTTTGATTTAGTGCGATAGAGTGACCCAGCACTCCACATAAGGAACTTTATCCCCCGCATGTTGCATATTTTCGCCAGAGCTACCAGCATTAATTGCATCAGTGGCAAACAAAATCGGCGAATAACCATACAAATCATATCACATAACGTTCTTGAAATAACGCCTTTATGGAATGTTGTCCAAATGACCACTAGGAAATTAACACTCGATTGTTAAAAAAAAAAATCAGCTGATCATCCGACGACGTACGTCCCTGATTCGTGAATTGCTCCTGATACGCAATCCAATGTTCGTAAGTGGATTGATCATTGAGCTCCAAGTTCTGTGTGCCAGTAAGTTACGAATCAGCTTAATCAGTGCGGCGAAAGATGTAATTATCCCGAAAGATATAATTGGGGAGAGAAGCGCACAAAAACTTCTTGTAACTTACTGCTCCCTGTCCGTACCAAGTAGATAAAATATAAGCGATCTCCTTTGGTCAGCCTGACGGATTGCACCTGCCACATTTCCAAAGTTTTAACAAATAAATCAAACTTCTCCCAATTACGAGAGCGTCCTCTGGAAAGAAAAACACACTAAATATCAACGAGGCGAGATTCCTAAGATAGTAACCCGCATTGCACATCAAATTTTGTGATACCGTCTGTCTTTGACGTTCATATATCCCAACTGGCCTGATTTTCCCTCAACTACACGTCACAACACTTTAACCTTTTCACGTTTTCCAACATGCAGTCACATTAGCCCACGGTCCTGCCGTCCCGCGCCACTAATCTCTCCAATGCGCAGCGTTCCACTGACTGAATCAACCCACCGACAGACCCACCCACCCACCGGCCCGCACTAAATTGTCAGACGCAGCGGACCAACACTGTCAGACCGTCCCCTCCAGTCACGATTAGCCTCTACAGTCGGTACCGTCAGCTCCCTCCCAACTGGACCCGGTGAGAGGCTATCCGCCAGCTCACCGTTTCTGACGCCTTTCCCTGCCGACAGACCTCTTGTTCTGGCCTTTCCGCTTTCCATCCAGCCGACCGCCGGTCCTCAGTCAGACTTGGAGTGCGTTCCGTCCCCCGCGCCGCCCTCAGCCGCGGCCGGGGCGGGGGCAGTGGCGGCGGCGGCCAGCGGGGAGGGCGCGGCCGGCCGCCGGTTACCGCAGCAGTCGGTGAGTCGATGACAGCTGGCGCATCGCGGCAGATTACTCCGCTGGTTGGCCTCCTCAGTCACATCCTTCCACAGGTGCGACTTCACCGCCGTCGGCTTGAACTGTAACAGCGGCAACCGGAGACGAAGTCAGCGGAGAGGATGGAGGAATTATTAAATGGCTCGGTAAACGTACAGCGATTGCCTCGTGACTAAACTGACAGTACCCCAGGTAGTTGCCTTAAATACACAAATAAAAATAAAAGTGTGAGAAATATGCAGAACGTTGGAACAAACGGTTATACTGTAGTAAAAGTAGGACGTAAGTACGCTCCTTTATGCGCGCTCCTTGTGATAATTGCATACGCTCCTCCAAAGAGTGTATCTCTAACAGTGAACGTGAGCGAAATTCTCCCCACCGACCTGTGTGAGGAAGAACCTGGCGACGACGCAGAACGTCTTCCCGCAGAGCGGAATGAAGAGCGACTGGTGTATGAAGGCGGCCACCCGGTACCAGGGCCCGTAGAAGGGATCCGAGATGGCCGGACACAGCATGCAGTTCAGGTTCACCATGAACGTCTGCGGGATGATACACGCGTGTTGACGGACGGGTGGTGTTGGTGTATAAAAACGGCAAGGTAATGTGCGGAAATAATAGGTTAACCTGATAGTTGATACGCAATGTTACAGTTGATAACCAACGCGTAGTAAAAATTAATTTTGCGGAGTCACGTTCGGTAAATCAGTAGCGACAGTGAGGCCGACGAGATTCTATAAACGCACCACAACATTAAACACACACGCAGCTCCGAGTCCCAGTGCCGGCACGGAGTCCGTATTGATCACTTCGACCTCCCGGGAGAACTCGCATCCCTCCGCAGCCCCACTGCACTGGTCAGAGCTAGGCGTCAGTGGCAGTGACAGGACTGTCCACTCTCCGACATCAGCGACTTACCACACTGATGCGCTGCCGGTCGACTATCCAGGACTATCCATCCACTCTCCGACATCGGCGACTTACCACGCTGATGCCCTGCAGGACGATGAAGTGATAGAGCATGGAGAAGCCGAGCGACATCACCGACCATGTCAAGTCGTGCAGCTTCTCGATCGTGTAGACGCCTGTCGGACAGCACAGGGATGTCACAAACCTCTCCGTTATTTAGAGCTTCGTTTATTATATCATAAGCCTATTCGGACTAGCGAGCATCAGTAGTTACCTCGATGCCAATCGTCACTTGGTAGAGAACCAGAAATGTACCGGTCATGAACACTGAATAGTCAAGCCGTTTGACACTTAGAACGTCACGATAAGACAGTGAGTGACGAGGATAGAATTACTGGATGACGTGAAGTCAGGTGTCATCGGCTTCAATATGACTGTCGCGTTTGTGTGGCTTCACGAAAGTGTGTGTCTTACAGAAAGGACCATGGCTTCCCCAACAGACACAAACCGTAGGCAGGAAACAAGAAACCATGGTGCACCGATGCGATGTATTTTACGTTGTTCTCGCCTACCACAACAAAAAGAAAAAATGGTCTTTTCCTCGACAAACAAATTACCGGTAACTTTACCATTGTCGTCACATAGCAGTTCTGACAAGCCTCAGTATTCTCTATCAGGACTCGTTTCAGTTTCAGGTAGTATCAATCACAGCTCATAACCCCAGCTCGCAAGTAAAGGGAGGGGAGATGGTATCATTCCACGGGTATCAGGCATTATCGTGGGTGCATTACCGACCCGTACCTATCAAACAATGGGAAGGGTTGCAGCATCACGTACCACCGAGTCGGAGCAGGTAGTACGGCACGACCAGCATCATGATGTGCTGAATCCAGTAGAGCTCCGCCTCAAAGGGCAGCTAAAGGTGGAACAGGCAGTACAGTTAGTTAACGGGGTCGTGCTAGGTCGGGAGAGGGAGTGTGCTGAGGGTTTAGTTAAAAAGGAGCAGAACAATGCTGACAATATGACGCTACTTAACTAGGTATTTATAGTAGAAGCATAATTCATGACCACCGGCAGCAACACAAGAAAAGCCAACATAGATAATTATTAATTAAATCGTCATATTTTCCACGGGCCAATTACAGACTATTTTGCAAAATCGACTGCGCGGCTGATGACCGTACCATTGCAATGCCGATAAATAATAGATGGAAGCGGCGGTTACCCAGTAAAAATCGATACTTGGCCGGGACCAATAGTGTATGGGACGTGACTCGCCTGGTAACAATAGACCGCGGGGGGGGGGGGGGTGTAGCCCGAGCGACGCGGCACAAGCCACGCGCCATACGGAGGGGGAGGGGTGGGAAGGGAGGGCACTATAAACGTGTCGTATGGAGCGACATCATAGCTGAGTGGTGGGCGAGAGGGAAGGGGAGGGGAGGGAAGGGGCCGATGACTGGCAGGGAGGGGAAGGGAGGGTAGGTAAGTGTCGGATGCCATGCTCGTGGGGTGGGAGGAAAGAGGGGTAGTTGGGAGAGGCCCAGAATTACTGTGAGGGAGGGGAGTAAATTAGCCAGTAAATTAGCCACTCACCAGGCGTGTGTTGGTGACGGGGAACAGCAGTGCCAGGACGGCGCCGTTCATGAAGTTCAGGTGGATCCGAAATATGATGGTGGAGTATTTACTCGGCGGGATGGTCAGCAACACAATCTGAAAATAAACATAAAGTTGCATAAGAAGGAAGATGTGCGTGGATAATCAGGAGGGAAAAATCATTGCCGAGACATACAGTGTGATATTTGGACCCACAGCGCTAGCCAATGAAAGAACAAGTTGACATTAGGGGCGATCAACGGTCGAATCCGGACGAATTATTGAAACTGCAGTTCACCATGATCAATCCAGTCTACCATTCAACGCGTATAACAGTTTCACGAAACACCCTACTAGTCCATTTTCGAAGTATTGGATTCAATCTGAGTCACAACCATCAGAGACCATGCTCTAAAAATCACACCAAATCGGGTCTACCAGTCCCTTTTTGACACCAGCGCCGAGGAGCACCGGGCTGTAATTTCAGATCAGACCGGCCCGGCCCACTACGAGCCCCGCCCAGCGACCGTTTACACACTTCCGGTACGGCTCGGTACATTTAGCATCTCAGCGCTAATATTTGGGAAACCTGACGGTCCTTTACCGTGCATAACTAAGTGATCACAATGATCAATCGTTTAAGACACACGAAAATTTCCGTCAGTTACATCGCAGTGAAGGCGATTCGCTTAAAGGAATAATTCTCCCGACTGTACTGGCGGGCTGAGCAGATAAAACGGTTGTGAAGTGACTCAATCGATGCTGGATAAGTCCCAGCACTAGCCAACTACGAAACGATCACTAGATTAGTCAAACCGTTCAACATGCCAGGTACTGCTATAAAAAAGTGACTTCGATGTGTGACGTGCTGACACTTAGCAGCCACACTACTCCTTCAGTAAGTAAGATGAACCGACTCTACTTCTTGCAATATCTTAACGCGAAAATAAGCGCGACAAATGCTTTCATTGGCTAAATTTCCCCTGATGCCCTTGAGTTCACATGGAAACAGAGGGCGCGTTTTTGTAACTTATTTTTGCTGCCAGCACTCGGCAACCACGGCCGACTCGATGATTACAGCGATAAGAAGACATCAGGCGGCCGATTTTTACATGGCGTGTGAGTGGAGGTGTTTCGCGCTTTCGTTGGTGGCACCTTGCAGCGTGGTTTCAGCCGACCGTCGCGTGCACGCTTTGCCGTCATACAATACCGGTATCGTTCATTTCACGCCAAATTAAGCAGTCACATGATACGATTCCAGCCACGTGTCAGCGTCCGGGCAGCACCCACGTGACATGAGATGGCCACGTGACGAACTGGTATCGGCACTTTACTACACAGCGGGAGTCACGTGACAGGCCGGTGTCGGCACCTCACCTGAAACGCGGTGGTCACGTGGCACGGGTTGAGGATATAGATGAGCTGGCGCGTGGCCAGCTTGAAGCCGATCTCTGCGCCGAACATCAGCGACATGATGACCAATAGAATCCTCCGGCCGGCACGGTCCTTCCTGGGGACGAAAAAATCGTCACCACGTAATACTGGCAATTACAAAATTGACTGCGTGCGATAAAAGACTAGTCGAAAGAAGCGAAGATGCGGTTTGCTGATAACCATATTACTACATCAGTGGCTCAGATAGGGTAAGCGATGGGAACCAAATAGAGATAAGAGCCCGATCTAGTGCTCTCTTTTCAAAATAAAAACTGCGGCCGGTTGCAAAGGTCGATAGGTCAGGACAAGCCCTGCAAAGCGTACCAACTGCCAACGAGAGACGTTGGAATAAATAAGGCCGCTTTCCACGACTGTCTTCATTGAACGATAAAGATCGTGCGTAACAGGGTAGCGCACAGTGAAGTCTATTACTCATATTATCTTTCCAAACATTAAAACTGGGCAAAGAAAAACGCAAACAAATACTCTGGACGACCTAATCACCAATCGAATGACCCGGCTCCGTATCCGCCACAAGTGGGGTCGCGAGGTCCGAGCAGCGAAAACGGCTCAGCGAATTACAGCATCTGTGAGAGCCTTGATTGCGATAAGTTGCCCTCAATGAGACGGGTCGGCCCAGCATTATCTGATTAAACAAGGCCGCCTCGAGTGGGTAGGTACTAGACACAAGTAGCAGAACAACAGCAGAAATCGTTTGACTTCGTGTCAGGGACTCAAAATATTTCATATGAAAAAGACATGCCATGTATGCAAATTACTCCACTGGTTGCCCAAGAGCGAAGTGACTGAAGCCACATTTGCAGGTATCGTAAACGCACCGACAACATTGTACATTTAGGAAGTAACTCTGGGCTAGAAATTTGCTGTCGCGTCCGTTAACAGTTCTTCAGGTTCACAAATTACTCGTACACAGTATTCAATCGAAAAGATCTTTACCGGGAAACACTCCTTTCAAAATGACCTTCGGTGAAAAGCTATACATTATCAAAGCTATAAAAACCTTCATTGTATTTTCTTGGAGCTTTCGATGCCACCTGCATCCTGTGGGTGGCCTGTAGCAGACTGCCTCAAGCTGCGAGTCCGTGACTGCGAGAGACACTTCCAATACATGGGTATCTAGCTCCATCCTACGAAGATCGTGGGAAATTCGAAGGATTAACGTTAAATGTGCAGGATTGACTGCTAGCAAGACTAGGGCATTAGTCCATATTAAAACGGTCATACAGAAAATAGGCAAGTACAGTCACACAACATAACAAACCCTCAAATGGTACCTCAATGAATCCCATGAATAACAAGCCCCAGGCTCGAGGACACTTTCCACATATGACCAACTCAGCAAACACAAAAACTCAGCGCCTATCCCGTAGCTCAGTTGGTAGCGCGTTGGACCGGGTTCGGGTCGCTCCGGCGACCGGCGCTCGATATTTTAATCTCCTGCCCGGGATGGTTTGCGGTTGGTGGGAGCAGCCGCAGCCAATTGAAATACGTTGAGTGGACAGGCCGTGTCTGGCTTTGAGGGCATCTAAATTCTCCGGTTACCTGGAATGTGCGATCGGACAGTAGGGGTCAGGGTCTACGCAACAAGCTCATCTTACGTAGGCTCTGGCTCTGTCAATGCGTTCGTTCAAAGCATCCCTAAAAAAAAAAATGTCAGCTCACCCAGACACACAGCCCTGTAGTATCCAGCTTACCCAGCTGCCAGTGACGGCAGCATACCCACTCTGCACTCACCTGATGTATGTGCTGGTTCGTGGCACGGTAACCTGGGAATAACCCCAGACAAAGTAGAGCAGGCTAATGCCCACCGCTACCACAGTCTCGATGAGCCGTGCCACAGGAGGCAGGAAGTCATAGCACTCCTGACCGCCATTGCCCGGCAGAGCAAAGTTGACTCCACCGTACAGCGTGTCAGCAAGCCCGGCCCAAGAGTAACCAAACATGGTGGCTGGAATAAAAAAGGTAGCATATTAATATACATGTTACCACCAATTATCGTCAGCTTATTGAATGTCAAAATGACAAATTGTTAACTGTGCTTTAGAGAACTTCGGCCTAAGATTCAATAGGCAGAACCAACCACCTACTGACAGCTGCAAAGAAACCAATAGCAAAACCATGAAGACTTGAGGCGATGGTGAAAATTGATTTTAGCATATCTGACTTATAATTGGATGCAAGGTTAGCCATCCATCCTGCTATGGTCAGGAACAATAACAGTCCGGGAAACTATGGTAAAATCTGCTATTTTTAGCAGTCTGCTATTTTTAGCAGAAATCTGCTAAAAATGGGTACGCATGTGACGTCATCGTACCCAAATATAGCAGATTTGGGTACAGCCCCATACAAAAGCAGATCTGCACCCTAATTGAAGCAAATGCGCATCAAATGCCTGGCAGATTCATGATGAGAATAGTGCTGAGAGTGATCTCTGCTATTTTTGTTCAGATCCGACTATTTTCAAATTCATAATTTGAAAATAGTCGGATCTGAACAAAAATATCAGAGGACATTCTCAGCACTACTCTAATCATGAATCTGCCAGGCATTTGATGCGCATTTGCTTCAATTAGGATGCAGATCTGCTTTTGTATGGGGCCGTACCCAAATCTGCTATATTTGGGTACGATGACGTCACATGCGTACCCATTTTTAGCAGAGTTCTGCTAAAAATAGCAGACTGCTAAAAATAGCAGATTTTACCATAGTTTCCCCGACTGATAAATTGACCTAGAAAATTGTCAAAGCAGCTACTTAAATCCAAGAAGCACGGAAACCGCCAAACAATTCTACAAAAAATGAAAAGGAGAGCCACCAGTTGTACAAAAATGTTAGAATGATGCAGCAGCTCATCTGAACCCTCCCATTTTGAGGTGGTACAGGGAATAAGGATCATTTTCATTTCATGCAAGTAATTCATATTTTAGCTTAAAGCAGTACCTTCATCTTTTTACAAAGGTAGGGCCCGGGGGCAGATCAGAGCTTTATTTACCATTTATTTTGCTCACCCAGTTAGGCAAATCGCGACCTTTTCCCACTTAAACCAGCTACAACACGAGCACCAATCTTAGCGACTAGAGCTGTTGTTGTTGTTTTGGTTTAGGGCGCGTAGCAGCTTGGCTCTTGCGTCCAATAGAGACTAGAGCAAGAACCCCAACTTCGCAGACAGCGTACGGATAAACGAAATAAATAATCACTTCGCAACCAACCATCACCGCCTATCATCAAAGCGCTGTTCGGCAGCCGGCTATTTTGTGTGCAGGGTATGACGTATTTCGCGAGCCGACGTCACAGGCGGTGACGTCGGCTCGCGCGCGAGCCGAGCGCCAACGACAAACTAACGGGAACCCTCGGACACCCTCGGGGCATAAACCGCGGAGTAGCATATTGAGCGAGTCTTATAAGGAAAATTCATATATTTTCGTTTCTCAAATGATAATCAGGGTGTCAACAGGGCTACAACACGCCTGTTAAGTTCCTGGATATGGTGCAACAGTGTGGGCTGTATCAACATGTGACATGCGCAACCAGGACGAGAGGAAATCAGACACCCAGCCTTCTAGATCTAGTCATTACCAGTAGGAGGGACAATGTAGAGCAGCTGGAAACCATGACTCCATTGGGGAAGAGTGACCATGCGGTTCTATCTGCCAGGGTTCTACTCCCGAATGGAACAGCAAATAAATGTAATACCAGCTCGCAGCAGAGTGCAAAGTGGAACTACGCCAAAGGTAACTATGCTCAGGCACGGGAAATTGCAAGGGGACTAAACTGGGAAGAGCTGTTGACTTTAAATGATTGCGACACACAGTACAACAAGTTTGTTGACAACCTTCTTGAAATTCGCAACACGTGTGTTCCTAAGAAGGTCACCTCATCGCCAGAATCAAAGCGTGGCTGGTTCAGCAAGCAGGCTAGGAAGCTTGTGAAGAAGAAGCGACTTGCGTGGAATGCCTACATGAATGCAGTCAGGCTGAATCTATCCTCAAGACAGCAGTTGTATGCAAGATACGTCAGGACTAGACAAAAGGTGACAAACAAGATCAGAAGAATGAAACGGCAACATGAGCACAGGTTATTCATAAACATCTCGCAGAACCCCAAGCTGTTTTACTCTTACTGCAACGCCAAAAGAGTGAAACCTCCAATAGGGGAAGTCAAGTTACCTGACGGCAGCCTCACCACCAACCACAAGATGACAGCATGTGCTTTCAGCAACTACTTCAAGAACGTGTTTACCAATGAGGATGACGTAAGCGACATATACGCGGGTGAGTTTTTCAACCAGATCCTACAGGACCAGGAGCAGGTTCAACCACAGGCTGCTAGCCACTATCGATGTTGGGGCAAATGATGTGTTCAACATGCTGAGGAACCTGAAACCATTTAAGTCACCAGGCCCTGATATGTTGCACCCCAGATTGTTGAAGGAACTGGCATCAATCATAGCCGAGCCTATGAGTAAAATTTTTCAGAGATCACTGCTTACTGGAAGGGTCCCTATGCTGTGGAAGATGGCCAACATCACAGTAGTCCACAAGAAGGGGACAAAGGATGAAGTCTCGAACTATAGACCTATCAGTCTCACCTGTATCCCAAGCAAGATAATGGAACGTATTGTAAAGAAAAATGTCATGGAACACCTGCAAAGAAATAAGATTCTTGCGACTTCTCAGCATGGATTCACCGAAGGGAGGTCATGTCTGACTAACTTGATTCAGATGGTCGACAGATGCAGCCAGTCACTGGACCAGAAACTACCTACCGACATTATTTACATGGACTTTGCTAAAGCCTTTGACAGTGTACCCCACGTTCGCCTCTGCCACAAGCTCATGGAAGTAGGGATCACTGACAAGGTTCTTCGCTGGTTAGAAGACTTCTTGACAGATCGAAAGCAACGAGTTGTAGTTTATGGCGAGAGCTCGCAGTGGGAGAGTGTCAAGAGTGGCGTTCCGCAAGGATCGGTGATTGGTCCATGTCTGTTTTTGGTTTATATTAACGACATTGCAAGGAACATGAATAGTGATGTGTCCGTCTTTGCAGACGATACAAAGATATTTAGATGCATTAAGACCAATAACGACATTCTGGCTCTACAAGCAGGGCCTCGGCTAAGGAATTTTGACTACTGGGGCAAATCGTCAGTGTGTTGGCGCACTGCTTGGGGGGGGGGGGGGGGTGTTTGAACACCTGCTGTTTTTCCTGCGGTTTTTCCTAAAAAAAAAAAAACGGCAGCGCTCCATCATCCATCAATTCTACACGTGTTGTAAAAATTTCAGACCAAGGTCACTCAAGATCTGGTCACCAGGTCACTTCAAGTGACCTCACCTCATAAAATGTTTCAATGAATGCCGTAGCTACACCGAGTGACCGATCGCTTTGAAACTTTCAGCGATTGATAAGGGCAACAGCATGTACAAAATTTATATCTCGGAATTTTCATATCGGTGACCTAAGGTCAGCTCAATTTGCGACCTCTATTATAAGTCAATGGGAGAAAATTCAAAACCACCTCTTTTGGACGAAAGTCATTCTAAGCACTATAAAACACTGTACGTGACTTTGACACACTAAACATGAAAATAGCACCCGTGACCCTTGTTTATGCCTCTGAGGTCATCTCAGTTCACGAATGGTATCTAGCAGTTTTTCGCGAATAACTTTTGAAAGAGGCATGCTAGAGCGACGAAAATGCCTTAGTTGTGTTTGGCTCAACGATGCAGATCGACCGATATGCAACATGACAATTTCCGGTCAGATGAACTTGACCTGTGGTCGAATTTTCAAGTTGACCTTCAAGGTCAAATTGTAGTTAATTTGATGCGTCTTGACGAGAGGAACACGATATCGGTAAAAGAAAGCTCGTGCAAGGCATGAGTCAAAAGTTATTGCAGAAGAACTGTTCCCGAAAATATCGTCTATTTTGGTAGTTTTTGCCCCTTGCAGGCAAAACCGTTTACGTTAGGTCAAATCTAAGAGAAATAACCAGAAAGCATGCTAATATGGCTATCAAATGCGCTTTTCCGCGGTGCTGTAGCTCTAATTGGTTCCCGAGTTATGCGTCGGCATCTTGTAAACTGTCGATGTTCGACCTGAAAATCGGCGAAATTTGGCATTCACTGAACTGACCTTTGACCTGACCAAAAAAGTGGCCGAAGTAATTTCGTCATTATTTTTGACGCTCTGTCGAACGAAGATGGATTATGGGGTGCAAAAAGATATGTTTGCCAATGCACGCCTATGTTTTTGGGTAGAAATTGAGGGTCCAGCTGCACACCGTGCACTCCCTCTTCCGCCGCCCCTGATTTCTTGCCACAAACGTCTTCAACCGCTCCCGAATGAAAGAATGTACGTTAATATTGATATATTCTCATTTTGTGGAGGTTGGGCAAAGCCTGACCACTACTGGGGCATTCCTCGACTCTACTGGGGCATTTGCCCCAGTAGTTAACATGTTAGCCGAGGCCCTGTCTACAAGACGACCTTAAGACTGCCGAGAAGTGGTCGAAAGACTGGAAACTGGCATTTAACGCTAACAAGTGTAAGGTACTCAGGATTGCTAGAACACAGGACATGGAAAACAGACCAGAATACAAACTAAATGGAGTGACATTGGAAAATGTAACTGTGCAGAATGATCTTGGTGTACTGATTGATTCGAATCTGGATTTCGAGCAGCAAGTGATTAAATGTGTCAGCAAAGCGTTTGCCAGTTGGGGTATTATAAGAAGAACATTTGAAAAACTCAAGCCCAAGATGTTCAATCTACTCTTCAAAACATATGTGAGATCTCATGTTGAGTACTGCCCACAGGTCTGGTCACCACACAAGAAAGGACTGGTAAAGAAGATAGAGAGGGTCCAACGCGTTGCAACCAGACATGTCCCCGGCATGGCAGGAAAAACATATGAAGAGAGATTGAAGGATCTTGGCCTGACCACGCTGGAAGCTAGAAGACAGAGGGGTGACATGTTACAAGTTCATAAAGTTCTGCACGGACTCCAGTCAATTGACCTCAGTGAACTTTTCACCGTTAAACCGAATCGTCAGAGAGGGTCAGCTTTTAAACTGTATAAACGCCGATTTGCAACTTCTAAACGAGGACACTCCTTCTCACAACGGGTAATCAACAAGTGGAACAAGCTAACTGAACAAGTTCACACGGCAAAAACCACGATCCAGTTCAAAAGGGAGTTCGACAAGCTGATGGCAACCACGAGGAATCATGAGACATGAAGTGCAAAGTAACAAAAGTAACAGATAGACGAGATATGGGCGTCCTATGGGCCACCTGTGGCCTCCTTAGCCCATTACCATCCTTATTCCTTATTCCTGTCTCTTACCTTTTTACATATCATTTAGGCTTACCTAACACTTCAGTTGCCAAATATCTGCAATTTATTCAAGCGAAGGTATTTTCAGTAAATATCAATGGTATAGACCGAAATCTTTTGAATAAAAACTCCAACCAACAGAAATAAAAATAACTTAATTTATTCCAACCATTTCCTCCAAATAAACAACATAAAAACTCACTTTTACACACATCATTCATAATAAAGCATACTAACCAGTGCTGCCAGATGTAGAAGGCTCTTATCCTCCAGATCAGTTACAAAAATCCTCCAGATTCCTCCAAATCCCATTGGCGGATCCAGAAAGGCGGTCTTGGACGCTGCGGGGGGCATACCTACCCCCAAAAAAGTTTCTCCAAATTCTAAAAACTCATCGGATTTCGATTCCTTTCGCACTGCTGTGCAGTTTAAAAGATACTTTTTTCTAATAAAAGTTAAGTTTTCGTTTTATCCTCGAAAAAGCGAAAATTTTCGTCGATTTCGGGCGCTGCAGGGGGGGGGGGGGCATTTGCCCCAAATGTCCCCCCTTAGATCCGCCAGTAGTTCGGTACCCTGACAAACATACGGTACAATCGTACACGAAGTAGGAGGAACAAATAGTCACCATGTTATTCGTAGATACTAGATATTTAGCTACAGACTCTGACATTCCAGTCTCACGGTGATAAAGGGCGAAGATATATCCTAACGGGTAGGGTAACGCTGGGTAGAAATATGCCTTTTGAGTCTTGAATGTATTATATTTTTCCATGAAATTGAGCATAATCATCGGGCGACAAATCCTCCAGATTTTCCTCCAGAATCAAAAATCCTCCAAAAGCGAAATTTGTCCGCAAGTAGAGTTCAAAATCCTCCAGATTTGCGGAAATCCTCCAAATCTGGCAGCACTGATACTAACACGCCGCTTTTGACAATTGCGGCGTCGAGTGGCGCGCTGCTAGCGCTCTTTTTCGATCGCAGAGACCCTGCACGCGCGCGAGCACACTACGTCACGTCCGGGGGGCACAGGTATATCAGTCGGTGACACACCAGGGAAATAAGCTAAAATTAGAGCGCTCTATTTATTGCTTCCGCTACTTCACCGTCTCCCATAGGGTCCTGTGTTGAGCTGGTGTCGAAGCTCTAAAAATGACGCCGATTTTTGCACCCTTCTCACGAAAACCGCTCGGACCGCCTGGAAACTAATTGTTCCGCTCTAAAAATTTCATGATCGACGGGAAAATGAACGAGGAAAAGATTGGTCCTGAAATAATTTTGAACTCCCTGTAGAACTTATCGAAATATGGCTGCAAACTAGGAGCATGTCAAAATCGACAAAACAATACAAATAAACTTACCGGGATTTTTTTATTTTCCATGCAACTGTGTATAAAATCAGTCTCTTTTTCGGAAAGATCATCTTCTGTTTAATAAATAATTCCACAATTGCAATCGAGAAAAAAAAACATTTCTGCTGTGACAGCAGTTTTGGCATTGTGCCAGTTGTGTGGCGTGCGCGGTGCTGCGTGGTCGTTGGGACGGAGTTGTGAGTATTTTCGGTGTTTTAAATGGTTGATGGCCATTTGAACGAGCTTTATATTATTTCCTACCAAATTTTGCATCAAATTATTGCTTTGAAAGACCATTGAAACCCCTTATCTCTTCTTGAAACACGATCATATTCATCGTCGACGAAAATGGCGCGGAACTCCATGTGCGTTTCGATCGAAATAAATCGTAAATTAAATAATATTCGATGATAAGTATCATATTCTAGTGACACATTTTCATAACATAAGGCATAAACTTTGCAAGTAAGTCAACATTGGATAATTGGATGCTTATTTTGCTCACATATCCTGGTAGTAGTCAAATGGCTCAATTGTTAGATAAATGTAAATATATGTTTTGGCTTGATGTTTGCTGTGAAACCACCCAGCCACTTGCTGGTTGAGTGGTTTTTTGATAATTACCTGATAAGCATTTCTCCTTTTCCTTAAAAGAAACTAAAATTCTTTTCAAAGTAACCCATTTTTAGGAAAGGCGGGTTGCTCATTGACATTTCATGTTCTTGTTTTGTTATTGCTGGCAGTATTTTGATACAATAATGCAATATGAATTTTTTGCAATAATAAAACCTAAGACAAACTTAGCCAATGCGTCAATCAAACACCCAACAAAGATTGTCCTTGTGATGTGAAGTAGAATATTCTATGAGTGTTTTATAGAATATGCCAAATTTTAAATTAATTTATTATTTGATACTGATAGCCGAGCATGTGAATTATGCCTCAATATAATTTCATTTTCTGGTTTTGAAATAGCCGGCAGTATTTTACTTCAACAAATGTAATATACATGGAATACATGTTGTTAGGTTATGTTAAAAGTTTAATAACAGGCAACAGAAGGGGCTGTTTCAGCAGATAATGTTTGTACCTTATGCATTACCTTTCTTTTCTGCAGGACCATGCTTCCGCTGGGTGGTCGACATTTGCCTCCTGAAGAAGTTGAGCAACATGAAGACCACCAGATGAGGTGTCTGCAGTTCATGTGGAACTCTGCAGACTACAAGTGTTATGCCAACCACAACCAAAGTGATCATGGAGGCATGAACCTCATGACAACACTTCAGATTTGCAGTTGTACCAAAGTGTGATTCAAACCACCTGTGGCATCTCACTCAATGCGTGAACAGTGTGATCATTGTGCAGTGTTCAGCTGCAACTAAGACATTTATTAGTGACTTGTTTTGCAATTAGCCAGTAGTCACCAAAAGTATTTTTGGGCTGGCTGCTGTAATTTGTTGTGCACTGCGCAATAGTGGTAGTGTTTTATCACTTGTCAAGTTGTCAGTTGTGCATGTTGCATGTTTCTTTCCCCTCGGCCCTCATTATCAGTTAAGTGGTGAATTGGCATCACTCAGTCTCCCCAGATCTCCATTGACTGTCTGTCAACCACCTAACTTGAGATGGTATTTGCTAATAGTGTCAGAAAAGAAGTGCTTGTAGACATTTTTAGGAATATGAGCTCCGTTTCATGCGTGTTCCAGTGGTCATTTTGTCACATGTCCCATAGTGTAATAAATGGAAACTGTTGTTCCCTTTTGAAGGTACTCGCGGATGCAGAAAGCGTTGGGCCTAATTATTAAACGCACCCTCCTATCAGCGACGCACGAAATCGACAAATATCATCCTTTTTAGAACAGGAGGAAACGAAAACTTGTGAACATAGCTGTACCTACAACAGTGCATAAGGAATTGAAATTCTGGGAGTTTTTGAAATTCGGAGAAACTCAAGTTGTCGACAGGTATGCCCCTTCTACGTCAAAGATCGCCTAAAAAACAAACTCTACAAAAGAAGGCAGTATTCGTATGTTCGTTGCAAATGCAGCCGCCTAGCAACATGCATTGCGGTCCGATGGCGAATTACACTCGTGCTCAAAAACTATGCCGGCAACTGCCAATGCACTTACTAAGGTGAGGAGAGGAAGGGTTATGTCAAATGTCAACATCATAGAAATGGCTTCATCTATTGAGCTGTGCCTATCGTACATAATTCAACTAATCTATGCATTTCGTTTCTTGCAATCTACTCATGCTTTCACTCCAGCTTCAGAGTAATCATCCCATATTGTACGTCTTAAGATATTGATTTCTATGGCGGTTTGCAATTGCTAGCCACGTCTTATCTCAGTTTGGTGGCCCCGCATCGGTCCACTCGGCCGCTCTAAAATTGACTTACGGAGGAGGATGGTGGCTTTTATTTTAGCTTCTCCGCTGACTGCGGGGAGCGCCGTCGCCGAGGTAGGAGCAATAATTAGCTTATGTTTGGGACTTGTTTCTACGCTTAATTAACATTTTAATGTTATTTTAATTTATTCATGTTAATCTTTGACGCATTCTCTTTCTATTGGTACCATCCACCGGTCTGAGAAGTACTGCCTTGCTGCGTAAGGGCCGATAAAAGATCACGCTTTTAGGGGTATCTCTTCAACATGGGGCAGGAGCAATTAATAGAGCGCTCTAATTTTAGCTTATTTCCCTGGTATGTCACCAACTGATATGAAAAATCGCAGTGACGTAACACTTTTCTCGCTTCTCATTGGTCAATAGCCCGTTGCCGGGGTAACGTGCACGTATGTGAGCGCGGGCAAGAGTACTAGCCGGCCGCCGATCAGGGCTTTGAGCCCTGATCGGCGGCCGGCTAGATACAACACAAAATAACTGGCAGAAGCCTAAGGGAGGGATCATATTGGATCATATTGAGCCACCAACACACATAACCTTGGCCAAACCTTGGCCATTATAGAACTAAAGCGCCAAGGTATTTTTGCCAGAATGGCTTGTAAAAGAAAATTGAAAACAGAAAATCACAGCGATTTGTGCAGTAAAACATTTTTTGGTAACAAAAATATACAAATATTTAAAAAGGAATAATCCAATGGATGAAAAAGTTTAAAAAAATTAACTTAAAACCTGGTCTAATTGTTCAAAACTTTGATTAAAACTAGTCTACTTTCTGGGAAAATATCTGGTAGCTTTGAATAGCTGTAGCTGTATGAACTGGAGCTTATCCAACTGCGTATTATTTGTCACAAATGCGCGATAGTTGTAAAACAACAGCTTTTGATAACAGCCGGCACGTGTTTGGTAAGATAAGTTGATTAAATAGTAAAATTTAGCATATTTTGACGAGTTTCAGGTGCCAAGGATTGATTGAAATTAAGTATTTTATATCATGTGAGATTTTATGTTACTGCTATCGACTCTACTGGAAGATCCAACAAAGTTTTTCGCTTTTTTCGATCAGCGAGGGACGGATCAGGATCACAGTCACACTAAGGCTGTATTAAAGGAAATAGTTCACTTTTAACATGGGGTTTTGAGCTGGAATAGCAGTTTCGTAGCTTGAGCTGAGACTAGCGCAAATCAGGAGCTTTTACGGCTCAACGATCACCCTAGACGAAGATATTCCATTTCTCGTTCCGAAAAGAGTGCCTTGTAGAGGAATGCGTGCCTTGCACAGGAATGCAGCCACGTCATCGTCAGCCAATCAGCGTGCTGCTTACAGCCAATGCAGTATGCGTAGGTTTGAGCTACGCAATATGATTGGTCAATGCGTAATAAGCTTCCGCGTCATACATTATTTTACATAGAATATAGTTTGTCCTATATTAAAATATAGAAAATAATTGTTTTTACAAAAAGGTTTTATTTTAATTCATGATTATTTTGAGCATAAAAAATCATAAATCGATAGCAAAATACTGATTTCAGGAAAGTGGACTGTTTCACACCCATCTATCACCCCTGCCTTTTCCAAAAAAAGGTTTTACAATTAAAATGCCGGTCCTGTAGCTCAGTTGGTAGAGTGTTGGACTCCGCATGGTGAGAGCACACGTTCCCGGTTGTAACAGTCCGGTTTCGAAGCGCGACTCGCACTTGACATTTATGAGCCTCCTGACAGGTATGGTTGCGGTTGATGGCAGGCGGTAGCCAGTCAAAGTCAGTGAGCGGATGGGCCGTGTGCAGCTATGTGCGCACGATAAACTTTGGACTCTAAATTCTGCCATAGAACTGGAATTAAGCGATCAGAGGGTAGAGGGCAGGGTCACCCCAACAAGCTTTGCTTAGCGGTGGCTCTGTCCTTATGAATCCTCCCTATGAAAAGGTTCAGACTAAATTCATAAAAAATGAAATATTCAGGTTTACTTCATTGTGCCTCCCTAGTCCCTATGCAGTTTCAATTGAAGTTTTCACCATAAAAGCTGTACCTACCTAAGGTTAGAATAGCAAGGCACTGCAGAACTTGTTGTGAAGCTTAAGTAGTATATCATGGCTCTGCATCAGAGGCATGCTGTGTCATGAGCCAGTCGCCGATTAAGGAGCCGTATTTTCCTGTAATGCTGCTGTTTGCATATGTCACACTCATGAGTAAGCCTAAAGCTGTGCAGTCAAAAATGATGCACCCAGTCAATGATTCAGTTGGCCAGAGAGCCTCTGCCCTGCTCTCCTATTTCTCATTCATTCATTCTCATTCCTGTAAGGTTTGCTTATTATGCAATGAGAACAGTAAATATCAACGTTGGTTGCTGCGGGAGCTGGGAAAAGCAAATGCCCCTGAAATGCCCTTTGCCTCCTGAATCTGCCAGTGATCTGGTTGAAGGGGTCTTGATTTGTAACTTGTTAGCTGCTGGCTACTTGCAACAAGACCTTCAGGCTTCAACATGTGATGAAGAACTGCTTAAAATTTACAAATTTAAAGAGGGCATAACTTAGAAACTTATGAGACCAATGAAAGGCTCGCAGTCCTCTGTGAGTGTGGACACTGTGCTCTTTCATTACTCTTTCAATATCTAAATTGTATGCATGCAAATCCATCTTTATATGCTGGTTTGATCATAACACTCAGGTGTGGCCTATAAATGTTTCCCCCTCAAATTCTGAGTGCAGTTTTGACACCTTCTTGATCAGCTTGTTTTGTCAACATTGCTTACCATCATAAAGCTTGTTTTTTTTTTACAGGAAAGAAGCTACAACAAGGAGTAGATCTCTAGAGATGGCTAATTTGCCTACACCAGTTTTCATAGGTATGTGTCGTGGGGGTATGATTGACAAGTTGCTTGTTGCTTTAGGCATGTTAAAAAGATAGAGTAAGTATCTTATTTCCCATTATTGTCTTACATAAAAAACTGTTTGAAATAGTTGAATTATGAATATCTTATAGCTGTAGAATTGCAGATATTGTAATTTGCTGTCAAGAGCATTTGATGGCTTTATCACTGTTACTCATGCAGTGTAGGTACGGCTCTCGCGAGATTAAGCGGTAGGTTTTGCACTTTTACATTTCCGGTTATATCTCAGAAACTAATCGATCTACGATGAAGCCATTTTATACGATCATGTCCGGCTTGTTATCCAACAAGTCGTTCGCATCTTCAACACTTAAAAGCTTAAGACGACGAAGATATGGCCTGAAGTACACTAAATTTTCTAGGTGCAAAACCTACCACTAAAACCCGCGAGACCTGTACCTAAAGAAGTGACATCATGTTGGTATAGGAAAATGCCCAATAAGTCATTCACCTGATTGATTTTGTCTTTTTTAATTTACAATATTACCGTTGATGAAAGCTGAAAAATTGGTTGATTGATGATGAAATTGATGAAAGAAAACAGGAAATAATTCAAACTCCATAATCCTTGATCGAAGTCAATGATTTATCAATTGACTTCTTCTGACAGTGACGTGTTGAAATATGTTCAGGTGCACGTCAAAACGTTCACTTAACATGTCAGTGTCACGCTAACCGCCGCTGTTCCCGGCCCGTTCAGCGCGCGGGTCGCCGGGCCTGTACTTCGCCAAGGGGCCCAAATGCCAGCCGTTCTCGGGCACACCTGACGAGAACTTCTCGGACGTCCGCGGCCTAGAGTTCAGCAGCGACGGCTCCCGCATCGCGTGGGTCACCAGTCAGTGGTACGTACTCAGTGGTACGTAGTACGTACCGAGTCGCGGAGGGCTGCCCACGACCGCTCGGGCCCCGGGGAATACACGTTTACAGGGGATCAGTGCTCTCAGTCTGTGTGTCCTCAATCGATATCGTAGGTACAGGACAGACGTTATGGCATTGTTGGGCTTGTTTGGAAAAACGATTAATTTCAAAGTTGGGATCCGGATCGTCGGCGACCTTTGTGAAATTTTATCTCGATTTTTTGTCCGAGTGATGACAAAATTTGTTTGATGAATGAATCGCGTCTGTGTGTTATTTAAATGCCATTTTTTCGTGTTTGATCGATATTTTATCCTGGCACTATATTTATCGACATTCTTTTCTTTCTGGCGCCAGTAACAGACGGCTGTAAGTGTGATATGGTTGGTTCACCACGTCGTGATTTGAGGAGTGATGAAATGGTCCTTTTTCCTCTTCAGTGTGAAGGTGGCGGAGACGACCAACTGGGAGGTCATCATGGAGGCCAACATCGCCAAGGTGGGCGCCGTCAAGTTCTCCCCCACCGGAAAGTACCTCGGCATCTGGCATCCGTTCTTCGGTGAGCTCATTCAGCTTTGAAAAAAGTAACTTATCTATTTCTCGGCTATATTGACAATACCAATGCTGCTTTTCAACCCAGAAACGTTAATTAAATGACCGATGTCCGACCACGTATGATTTCAGTGTCAAAGGAGAATCCCCAAGGCGGGACGAACATGTACGTCTATGACGTAGACAAGAAAGAGTGCATCAAGTCGCTCATACATAAGAAGTATCAGTCGTGGTGAGTTCTCGTAGTAATATCTACGCGGAACAGTTGCAAACTTTGTTAACTTCCTGAAACCTTAGCCGGAACGTTCGCTCGTTTGTCGCCCCAAAGGCGTCTCACTGGTATTGGGTTATTTTAACTAGATGTTTTCAATAGTAAGATGAGCACCATGTTAATTCCATTATCGCACGGTTTTACGATCTTCATTGTTTCCTGGTTCGCACAGTCGCACTCGTCGGTTATCTCGATCATCTCCAGCAAACCGCACGCATATGTTGATATGTCCCACCGTCACCTACTGGTCTCTATCGTCTTGTCCCTCCTGTGCCAGTGTCAATACCACCTCGTCTACCCACCTACCCACACCACCCCTTTCCCGTGCGTCCTCCCTCAGGGAGATTCAGTGGAGTCCGGACGACGCCATTTGCGGACGGAGTGTGTCCAACGAGGTGCACTTCTTCGAGAACGGCCAGCTGGACTCTGTGGTGCACAAGCTGCGTCTGGAGGGACTCAGCGAGTACAGCCTGGCGCCGAGCAGCCGCAACCCGCACGTGGCCGCATTTATACCGTCCGTGGGCGTGAGTGGGGTGGGAGAGGGTTCGACTATAGTGAGGATAGGAGTGTTCTTCTTTCCTGAAGAAGGTAGAATGAGTTTCCTGTATCTTCTGGATAATCGGGAACGTATAACTTTGGTAGAAATTGCTTTTTCGGCAGAAATGCGACCCTGTCCAGTGTCCAGCCTGTTGTCCGATGTTTCTCTGTATATGACGCTTCATGCGACATGCACCGACTGCGGCAGGGCCGGCCGGCGGGAGCCCGGATGTTCAAGTACCCCAACTTCTCAGAGGATGCCGCTGTAGGACGCAAGAGCTTCTTCAACGTAAGTGTAACCGTATCACTTGACATAAAAGGGGTGTTCACTGCTCACTGCTTATATTTGCTGTGAGTCTGCAGTGCTGGCGTCGGATGCCGATTCGTTTAACTGACTTTGTATTGTCAGACCGATGTTCAACTAATATGTTTCCTTTTTGCAGCTAGCCTAACCGTTTTATAAGCTATTTTGATGTTAACCAATCGGCTGTATGTGTGAGTCAGTTCGTCAGGTCACCGCTGTGTTTCCGACCCTCCCTCTTGGTGACCTCCTCGCCCCGGTCCACTGACGCCATCCGACCCACGCAGGCCAACTCTGTGGAGATGAAGTGGAACAGCCGCGGCAACACGTGCCTCCTACTTACATCTACCGACGTGGACAAGACGGGCCAGTCGTACTACGGCGAGACGTCCATCTACTGTCTGGACACCAAGGGAGCCACGGCGCACCTCCAGCCCGGTGGGTGGTCCGTGTGTGTGTGGGGGGGGGGGGGGGGGGAGGAGGAGAAAGAGACGCTGTACGGTAGGGAATACGTAATGCCAGAAAGGGTGTTTTTGTGGAAAGAACAGGGAAATCCTCAGAGACGGAGAAAGTTTTGTGTTACTGGAAAGTGGTTATGTAATGCAAATTTATTTTGTAGTAGGATTACCTTCCGTGTGTCAAGGAGCAACTAATAAGGAGGTGTTAGGAGTGCGCGCTGGGCCTCGTGTGATCGAACACGGTCACCACCATAAAATCAACCTAGATATACAGTTCGTCAACCCGTGAGGTGGGTTCCCGCTTCCCAGTCCTATACATCCCCCAGCCCGCTGACCGTTGTTCGTCTCCCGTGTCCCAGGCGGCAAGAAGGGCCCGGTGTACGCGTTCGAGTGGAGTCCACTGGGCACGGAGTTCTGCCTCGTCTACGGCTTCATGCCGGCCAAGGCGACGCTCTACAACATGAAGGCGGACCCGGTGTTCGAGTTTGAGCCGGCGCACCGGAACGCCGTGTTCTACAACCCGCAGGGCAACCTGCTGGCGCTGGCCGGCTTCGGCAACCTGCGCGGAAAGATCGAGGTGTGGGACATGGAGGCGAGGAAACAGGTGGCGGCCGGCGACTGTCCGGACACGACCGAGCTGCGCTGGTGTCCCGACGGCCGCCACTTCACCGTGGCCACCTGCGCGCCGCGCCTCAGACAGGTGGGAGGGGGTGGCACGGGGGACGGGGGATGATGGGAGTCGGACTGACAAGATGTCAAGGGTTTACATTTAACGGTGTCTGCACCAGAGAGCGATGTCTGAAAATGTGTTCGGTCCAGTTATTTTGCAACAATTGAATACAACACACATTAAATTATTGACAGTTCTGAGGAGCTTATCACGGATTGATTGTTATTCTATTGTTCTCACAGTGAGATCTCTTGTCCCCGAGTGCCGCAAGGAGTATCCATTTCATGGGTAATAAACGATGACTGGCCACACGGTCTGACGCGGTGGATCCTCGCGTTTCAGGGGAACGGTTTCCGCGTGTGGCACTACACTCTGCAGATGATCTACGAGAAAAACATGGCTGAGAAGCACGAGCTGTACGAGACGTACTGGCAGCCGTTCCCGAGCGGCACCTTCCCCAAGCCGGTGGTGGGCTCGGAGAAGGTGAAGGGCACCAAGCCGTCCCAGCCGCCGCGTGAGTATTGAGGGACCGGTGGGGTACCAAGCCATACCAGGATCCGTTGATGATAGCAGAGGATAGGACAGCACCTGGAAAAGACAAATGTAAGATGTCTAACTCGGCAACGATAGTGATAAAGAAGTTTTAGTCAGCAGCTCGTTCCATCCTGTTTGTTTGCAGTAAACTTGTTGCCTGAGATGGCTGCACAATGAACTCATGCTATTCCCAATGAATATTCCAAGCAATCCAGGATGAGTGATTGAGCACAAAACCGGTATGTTGTTCGGTGGTAACGTCAAATCCTATCTCTCAAACTCTCTGTCGTGTGATCCTTCCACAGCGGCCAAGACGGCGTACGTGCCGCCCAACATGCGCGGCCTCAGCAAGACGGGCCAGCCGGAGAGGAAGAAGGTGCTACCGCCGGGGATGAGCGAGCCGGAGCCAGGTGAGAGCATAGATGGACTATTTTCCCTAACAAAAACCGTCTGGCTTGTGTTCATAACGGGTATACCGCTCTGTTTTCGGATGATAATGCTGTACCAACACGATCGTTGTGTAGAGATACCAGCCATTTATCCTGATGCGTGTTCCTAACAAGTAAGCTTGGGCTAACGAAATTCAATATGTCGATTACGTTTCCAGAGAAGAAAACCAAGTCAAAGAACAAGAAGAAGGGTGGCGGTGACGGCCCGGCCAAGCCGGAGTCGGCGCCGGCCGCCGAGGACGAGCCGTTCGTGCCGCCGTCGGCCGCCGAGCGGACGCCCGCCCCCGCCCCCGCCCAGAGCGGACAGGCCGCCGCCAACGTCGACAGGAAAAAGAAACGGGAAAACCTGAAAAAGGTACGTTCTCGATGATGCCGGATAAGGGCGACCCTATTTGGGTAAAAATAAGTGACTTGATTGACGCGATTTACATATGACTACCGAGAGCCACGGCAGCGCGGTGCTAGAACGTTACCTCTCGCAACATATCCCTTCCACCTTTTAAGTTGATCTAACCTGTAATTGTAGGAAATGGCATGCCTAATTCTTTTCCATGTCCAATGTTGGTAGACAGTGCGATGACCGTACCGTACGGCTGCGTCCACCCACAGAAGCTGAAGGACATCGCCAAGCTGAAATCCGACCAGGCGGCGGGCAAGGAGATGAATCAAGAGCAGCTGGACAAGATATCCCGCGAGGCAGACCTAACTCGTGAGCTGCAGGAGCTGACTGTATAGCGACGGCTCCCGCTAGGTCATCCGCGGGGGTCGCGCTGCTTCCCCACCCCTTGTTTGATAGGATTTTATGCCGCCGCGCTGGGGCGGCGGGCGGATACCGGCTGTGTGCACTGTGCATTACGTCCCGTGTTCCGACGTGTTTGTTGCGTTTTTGACGACCGATGAGGCGGGCCACTGTCGGGCCGGCGACGAATGAGGCCTACCTCACGCCTACTCTATACAACTTGGTAACAAAGCTGCCGTTTGCTTGGCGTGTTTTATTAGAATGAGAACAGGTACAAAACGCGACGGACCGGCGCCGGACTGAGCGCTGTCGAGTCGGCAGCTAAGAAGCTTCGGTATCGATGGACGGGAGATACCCGTGCGGTTTGGAGACGAAGACGGACACGGAAAGGCGAACGAGCTGAACATCTGAAACATTCAACACTCGCAACGCCGACACAGGCACGGATTACGACAGCGGCCCGTCCACCCCTCTCAAGAAACAATCATCAGTCCTTGCACGTCCTACCTCAATGCCACAGCACAAATAGTCCAGACGTGCGACGGACCACTCTCGATCCCCCGGCGCTCCCGTCCACCCCACGGCTCAGAGACCCGGATCGTTAGCGTTTGAGCAATCGGATAGAGATCGTTTTGTAAACCCGCGACGGGAGAGCGTATCACGGTCGGGGGGCGCACCGCCCGTTACGGAAGTCCAGGTCAGCTGAACTGCCGAGCGTCGGCCGACTGTTTGCACCAACATTGCATCACAACTCAGCGATTTCCACTGGCAGAGCTATGCAGCGCAGAGCGGTAAATCGTCAAACTACTGCACTTCGCCCCGCTTCAAAACTTGAAGCGCAATCACAAATCACTTCGCGTACACGACACGAAGTTGCTACGAGAAAATCGTGACCGCGCACGACTGATCATCAAAAGCGGTGTAAAAGTTCGTATACGAGTTAATTTGTCACACAGCGCTGAAAAGAATGGAGAAATGCATACACGGAAGAGTAAAACGTCACTACTGCCAGTCTCGTTCAAGTACAAATCCCCCACGAACGCACTAGCTACCAGACATCTCGTTCACATCAACTGACCACAAAACACGCAAACACTGGCCGAACTGATCAACACTCAGCCGACAGCCCTAAACGCAACACAACGCAACGCAACGCAACACTGAATGCAATTCGATCGGCCGGCCTGCCAGCCCGCGAGGCACCAAGGCCCAGTCAATGTCCACAACCGAGCACCAGCCTTCAGATCAGTCATTTCACTGAGCACGCCACATTCCGCACCAATGCCGAAAGGGGCATTCATTGCAATGTCGTAATCAGGGAAGCTCCACCATTATCACTGCGTCATTGTTTAGTCTTCGTTGTTCATCACGGGGAGGTAATTCGTCGCATCATCCGTCGGAGGCGCGGGATCGTCCTGAGCCCGATCTGCCATCTGACGGCGGCGAGACTAACTGGTACTGCGGAAAACCGCCGCTAGACGTGGCAGAGACCCGCAGTCGCAGAGCCTGTGTGGACAGAACAACATTTTAATGTCACGGCGAAAGACGTAAAACTAAAACTTAAACGTAGTCGATATACAGGTGAAACACAAGACAAGTCTCCACTCCAAACAAAATAACACTGATTCCCCCTTCTAGGCTACCCAGCGGTGTTACCTTTTCTAGGCTACCCAGCGGTGTTTAGCCTGTCATGTTCCCCACTTCCAGTGTCTCACACTCACCTCCACAGTACGGTGTTCGTTGGCAGACGTCTGCGGCCGGCTGGCAGACGTCTGCGGCCGGCTGACGGGCGGCTGCGGCCGACTAGCAGCTGGCTGCGGACGGCTGGCGGGCGGCGGGGCGGAGGTGGACACCGGCGGGCGGCTGACGGGGGCGGGCGGAGGCGGCTGCGGGGCGGGCCCGGGCCGGCCCGAGCTGACCCCACCGTGTGCCGGTGACGGCTGGGGAGCGGCCGGCGCCGGCGGAGGAGCGCTGGCTGGCCCGCTGCAGATGGAGACACTGCGTTAAAGGTGACAGAGGCCAGGGGAAGGGCGAACAAGGGGTAACACACCGCTGTGATGATCCGCTAGCCTGTGCTGATTTACTGCAAACGTTTGCGCTGAGTTGCATATATGTGCACGGGAAGACGAATGTCATAGCATTGTCAGTCTACATAACGTCATACATACTACCTTCAGCAAATATGGAAACTTCTCGAGCACCCAAGACCGTTTTTGTAACAAACAACACAGCACAAAAAGCAGCGATAAAAGGGACCACCAAACAGACAACGCCAAAAACACGTTTTCCCAATAGGAAATTATAGGCTAGGCATGCTGACTGCATAGTGCGAGTGGTTTCATTACAAATAATTATATGCAATCTTGGACGATTCGGTTTCCAATGGAAAGTGTGCACGACATTAGACTATCTCTCAATGTACACTGTGCAGGGTTTAAACAACAATTCCATATATTTTACGCAGTGTGGATTGACCTAATAGAAATAAGCAACCGACATGCAATGAAGATCTTAGGGCATTCTTCCATTCAAGCTGATAAGGACGTCCACACTAAATCAAACCAGAAACAGACCGATTTCGACACACAACAAACCGATACACAACACAACCATCCGAACATTCGCGGAAGCATCCCCGTCGAGACAACAATCAAAGCCTTCTGAGAAGGGACGAACTCCAAGCTGGAACATACTTTTGCATTACCGACTTACCTCCGACTTTGTACACAACTTGACAATCAGCAGCTAAGCCCGATACAGAAAAGCCAGAAAAATGGAAGACAAAATGTTAAAATTGACACTGTGGGAATACAGATAATACAAAATTTGGGTGGATTATAGATGAAATACTGACGATTCCGTCCAAGAATAACTAGAGAGACGATGAAGTCGATTTATCTATTCCAGCAACACAGGACGATTATGCCAAACTGGTTCAACAAAAAGTATGCAATGGATGACGAGGAGAAAATGTTGCACATTCGCCCCGCGTTCGCAGTCTCCGGGACGACGAAGATTCTACGCCGTCCGGCCAATCCCGCTCGATGTCGGCGGGGGCTGGGCCGCGGTTAACGAACGGGATTGGCCGGACGACGTAGAATCTTCGTCGTCCGGGAGACTGCGAACGCGGGGTGGATCTTAGTACATATTAAGTCAGTTGGAAGCGTAAATCATTTGATTATGTCAACAAACGAATAAAAGCCGTGCATTATATTTCAAAGCCAATTGCCTGATGATTGCATCAAAGACAGCGCGATGTTGGGAAAACGACAACTCCAAACGTCGTTCGGGAGCCGGCCAATTCACAGCAGCCGCGGCTGACCCACCTGCTTCGTCCGTTGGTCTGCGGCGGCGCTCGGGCGGGGGCGGGGGCAGGGGTGGCCGGCTGTCCTCCCTCGGTCAGCTGACCGTTCGCCAGTGGTGCCGGACGGGGCGGCGTGGACCGTAGCTGACCGACTGGTCCGCCGTTCAGCTCGATGTCTGTGAGTGGGGCGGTCACATTGTCAGAATGGGGCGGTATCTGCACTGAGCCGCCGGAGCGCACGGCCGGCGGTCCCTCCATCGAAATAACGGCAATAAATTTGAAGGGACGTCCGATAGTAAAAGAGAGGCGAACGTAACACCTTCCGACTTTAATGTAACGAAATAAAGAAAACGAGTAATACATATACGCCTCCTGTCAGCGCTGGCCCGAGCTAACGATTCAGAGAGCCAAGGGAAGCCTTAAATGACAACGTTTGCTGTCCACCGTGAGCTAAAACTAACCGGACAGTCAGTCCATAATGTCGGTCGGTACTGACGGCACTGGCACTATATTCTGCCACTAACAGCTTCCTGCCCTGTTACTACTTGTCTAGTATCCATCCCTGGGATCCACCGGGTGCACCACACTCGCCCGGGCACTCACCGGGTGAAGCATAGCACCTCAGCACTCAACGAGTGCGCCATACCCGTCCTGGAACTCACCGTTGGCGGCGGCCTGCTGCTGTCGCACGGCGGCGGCCCTGGCCGACACCACGCCGGGCGCGGCGCACTGCAGCGGTACCGAGAGACGGGCGTGTACCGCCAGCAGGTGGTCGCGACGCTGCGACACCACGCCCATGTGCTGCTCCAGCTGGGGACAGAGAGAGGCGAGTCAGGGATAGGTGAGCTAATGCTCGAAACAGAATATGGGCAGCAGGTATAAAAGTCGGCCACACATCAGCTTGGGTGAGCGTTGAGCTGGGCACATTACGAAACCAGACCATTTCCCGGCACATTATCGGGTCGCGTGATAAACAAGTGAACCTGTCCGCAGTTGTCCGAAAACACGATTCCCTCCAGAATACAGAATGACGACCACGCTTGCGCGGCGGTACAGTATTGTATAGGCCGCATGTTCGTTGTGTAGGTAAAAACAAACAAACCAAACCAAGAAATGGTCGCGCTCGGGTTCGAACCGAGGACCTTCTGCGTGTAAAGCAGATGTGATAACCACTACACAACGCGACCGACGGCTGCCGGGCCGCAGCAAACCAGTTAGATACCTGTTCGTTTTCCTGCCGCAGCTGATAGAGGCAGCTGAGCAGGGCCGCGATATCCATGTGTTGCGACTGTTCCATCAGGAAGTGGCTGCCCTGCTGCCACTGACGCTCCAGCAACTCCGTCAGAGAGCGGGGGAAGGGCGCGGCTGCGGTGTCCGGCCGCCACTGGGAAAACAGAGAGGACCGAGTGATCAGAAGGTGGAAACATGAGGCAACTGAAACAAAGAGACACGGGGCGAGACATGGATGGCGATTGCAGACTGGCCTTGATGTTCGATGGTGTCAATCTTCATTCAACTCTAATACAGAACTGCATGAGTAAAACTCACCCCAAATACCTTCACTGTTCACATTACCTACAGACTGCAGACACACACACGTCATCAACCAATTGCTCCCCCGATACCCCATCCTATCCCATTACCCACCTGTCCTGGCGTTGCTGCCATCCTCCCTGTCGGCTCCAGGTAGTCGGCCTGCTCGGCCATCTCCGCCGCCAGCGAGTCGCCCAGCGGAGCGGCCGGGTTCAGGTGGTTACCGATCATGTGCGGCGCCGTCAGGCCGCTCGGGGCCACCGCCGCAGCGCCGCTGACGAAGACAAACGGGGGTACGTTATACACGCGGCTGTACTGTCATGTAACACAAGTTATGCACGGTTTGATTGGCAGCTGGCCCATAGCGGCCAGTCATGTGGGGAAAAATGAATTAAGGATAAACAAAGGTGTCACAACATAACATATCTTCAACGGAAATGCGAAAAATTTGACAACCTTCTATATCATCCTCAATCACACTGTTATCAAGCCGTTCACCACACCCGGTCCAAAGCCAACAGCACCTCCTTTCCACCTCAATCTCGAACAAACGGCTTCCCAGTCCACTGGTCCCAACTCCGCTCCTCCATCTCACCCACCATATTTCCGTCCCGACCCGTCCACCTGCCTCCTCCTCCCGTCCCTCCCAGTCGGTCTCACCCGCGCGCCGTGGCCGAGCCGGCCGGCTGGGCGGCGTCCGTCCCCACCGCTCCGTTCCAAGTACCGTCCGCGCCGGGCTCCGGGGACCCGGCGCCGGCCGCGCCTTTCCGGGGTCGGCCGGTCGCCTTCCGTTTGCGGGCGTCGCCGTCAGCCGGCACGGCGGGCCGCTTCAGTGACGCCGAGTCCACATCGGCGGCCTGCTGTGGATGGAAAGGACTGGTCAGGGTGATATGGGATAGCAAAGGTCGGCTGAGGACGAAACGAACAGCTTAGAGTCCCTCTGAGACTTGTCGGAATCACATCGCATTGAAATACGTATATCGATCTAGCCTGATACCGGTCATCGACGGCCTGCCCGGAGATGCACCCTGTGCTACAGTCAGTTTCATTCCATGTCCCCACGGGCCAGACTTGTATCAGCAGCGAGCAGCACCAGCTGACCAAACACTAAACCCGAGCGGCGAGCACCTGAACTGGCCTTCACCCGCGTCCCGCACCTACACCTGAGTTACCTGGGCGGCTGGCAGCGCCGTGCTGGTGGCCACCGGCAGAGAAGCCACCTGACCGGCGGCGCCACCGGCGGCCGGCAGCAGCGCCACCGGCGGCGGCTGCTCCACACCAGTCTCCTGCTTGATACCGGACCCGTCCTGACGGAGGTGGGTAGGGTAGCGAGGTTAGGGGAGGACTGCCCAACTCGGAGGGAGCACAGTCAGTGGAAACATCAAGAATTGCAGATTTACAAAATAAACGTAAAGAGAGGTGGTGGAGAAAAGAGCAAGACAGAAAACCAGAAAGCCAGCACTAGCAGCACGCTTTGGGAGAAAATGTCACTAATCTGGGAATTTTTATTTAGTGTTGGCAGAGTGCAGCATCAATACGATTATTATCACACTGCATTAGTCAATATCTAGCGCATCAATGACCGCCGAAAGTTTATCACAGCCCCGTCCCATAAAGCCGTCTCCGTCCATCACGTACCCTGTTGTCGGCCGACACAGAGTCCGGCGCGCCGTCCTGTCCGCCGAGGGCACGTGCCGGTGTCACCTCCCCTCCTCCGGCCAGTGAGGAGTGCACAGCCGCGGCTCCATCCATCCCCAGCTGTCCCACGGGCTCCAGCTTCACCACAGCCTGCGGGAACGGGGCCGCGCCCGGTCCGCCGACCGCCGGCGCCGCGCCCACCTCCGGCGGAGAGGCGGCCGCGGCGCGCGGCGAGCGCGACTGTTTGGGCTTCTTGTGCCGTCGCTCGGCGCGCGGTCCGTCACCGCCCGGCGGCGGCGGCTGCTTCTCCGGAGAGGTATCCGGCGTGGCCGGGTCGTGACTAGCCTTGAACGCCGGGATCGGCTTCAGGTTGTGGCCCCGCTTCTGACGGGGGAGTTGGAACGGAGACACAGGACGGGATAATCACATCAACATAACTCTTCGAGTACATAAGTGCTTAAATGCAACGTAAAACGAAAAGAATCGATCACACTGTCCAAAGAATCATCAGTTAGATTGCACCCACTTACGAACACCACTGATAACTGATAGATATATGATACCGATCCGTATTTCTACAGATAAAAAATCACCAGCGCCTACCACCCACCGCTACTTCTATCAGTTTCGTGAGTATCTCTCCATCCCTTTCCACACACACATCACTCCACTGACCAGCTTGGCGTAGTGGTGCGGACAGTAGCCGCAGTAGGTGACGTTCATGCTCTGCACCTGCTCCTCACAGAGCAGGCCCTGGCTCTGCGCGCACGTCACGTGAAAGTTTTGTCTGCAGCCGGGCTTGTTGCAGCTCATGGTGGCGCCGGTGGTGGCGCGGCTGGTGCGGCCGGCCACCTCACACAGACAGCACGGCTGGGCGGGGGACAGATGGCGTCAGACAGCGGCCACCTCACACAGACAGCACGGCTGGACGGGGGACAGACGGCGTCAGACAGCGGCCACCTCACACAGACAGCACGGCTGGACGGGGGATATACGGCGTCAGACAGCGGCCACCTCACACAGACAGCACGGCTGGGCGGGGGATATACGGCGTCAGACAGCGGCCACCTCACACAGACAGCACGGCTGGGCGGGGGACAGACGGCGTCAGACAGCGGCCACCTCACACAGACAGCACGGCTGGGCGGGGGACAGACGGCGTCAGACAGCGGCCACCTCACACAGACAGCACGGCTGGACGGGGGACAGACGGCGTTAGACAGCGGCCACCTCACACAGACAGCACGGCTGGACGGGGGACAGACGGCGTTAGACAGCGGCCACCTCACACAGACAGCACGGCTGGACGGGGGACAGACGGCGTCAGACAGCGGCCACCTCACACAGACAGCACGGCTGGGCGGGGGACAGACGGCGTCAGACAGCGGCCACCTCACACAGACAGCACGGCTGGGCGGGGACAGCACGGCTGGGCGGGGGACAGACGGCGTCAGACAGCGGCCACCTCACACAGACAGCACGGCTGAACGGGGGATTTACGGCGTCAGACAGCGGCCACCTCACACAGACAGCACGGCTGGACGGGGGGGATTTACGGCGTCAGACAGCGGCCACCTCACACAGACAGCACGGCTGAACGGGGGATTTACGGCGTCAGACAGCGGCCACCTCACACAGACAGCACGGCTGGACGGGGGGGATTTACGGCGTCAGACAGCGGCCACCTCACACAGACAGCACGGCTGGACGGGGGACAGACGGCGTTAGACAGCGGCCACCTCACACAAACAGCACGGCTGGGCGGGGGACAGATGGCGTCAGACAGCGGCCACCTCACACAGACAGCACGGCTGGGCGGGGGACAGATGGCGTCAGACGGCGGCCACCTCACACAGACAGCACGGCTGGGCGGGGGACAGATGGCGTCAGACAGCGGCCACCTCACACAGACAGCACGGCTGGGCGGGGGAACACAGTGTCAGACAGCCGGGCCACCTCACACAGACAGCACGGCTGAACGGGGGATACACGGCGTCAGACACACCGGACGCACGGTGTCAGACGGCGGCCATCAGCCTAAGCATGGCAATACGTCTACCACAACGACACTCACACGAGCGTATCGAAAAAGGCGAATTACGACGCATACCGAACCTAGTATGACATTAGAGCCGAGTGTTCAACTATTTAACATAAATCAATCCACAACCCTAGCATTCGCATCAATCAAATGTGACGAGAATAGCCTTATCAAGCATCAGAGTACACCACATTAGCTGTAACATCCGCACCGTACCTTTCCGAATCTGTCAGGCGGCAGGTGGGACAGCAGCACCGGCTCCATGGTCGCCACATCTCCGAAGCGCACCTCGGGGATGTAGAGTGCGCAGACGACGTGCGCCCAGCCGCCCGAGTCGGTCTGTTTCAGCGCGCCACCCTTCCCGGGACACAGCTCGCACCGCTGCCGGACGCCGGCCGTCAGAGGCGCGAGGCGAGGGGATGGAGACGGGGAGGGGGTGGTGGGCTACAACAGAGCCAGATCGAAAATATGTAGGTTGATTAATGATCAATGATCATGCTTGATTTAACAAAGGCAGACAGCAGACTGCATTTAAAAGTGCACCAAAAGGAAAGGAATGCACCCAAACAACTGATGGCAAAAAGCATTCACTTGGATGGCATTATTTCAGGTCTAGTCTAACACCTTTATCAGGTCTGGGTAATATTTTTTTTTTTGTTATCTATGGGTAAGTAAACTGATGTTTTCTAACAACTTTCAACAGAATTTACCAAACCCAAACTTGATGCCATTACAGGACATAATGTCCTGTAATGACATATATGCCCTGTAGAGTCCTGTGAATAGAGTACCTACCTAGTACCTATAGGTACTAGGTAGGACGTACTCTCTTTCTTGGTTTTAAGCAGTATACTATTCATTTTTTAGCTAAGAGGTGTGGAAAAGAAAAACCAAAACAGCTGAAATACACTACATTGTCACTAAAGCAGTCAAAAGATGGAAGGAGAAGGAAGCATCAATGCTACTTATTTGTCAAGCATTGAGATAAATCAATAGTAGGTACAGGTGTGTCAGCAGCATATCTCTGTTCATAGCCTCATACAGAACATGTGTGTACTCATGTACTGTGTAGGAATCATAATCTACCTGAAAGGTTGAGGGCAGCTTGAGTTGTAAAGCTGCTGTCTATTCATATGAGATATCACTAGCATTTTGTTTAGAGTGTGACAGCACTAAAATAATTAGTTACCCGAGTCAAAAGACTTACTGTAATTGCTGAGCGATCTTGTGATTCACATTTTCTGCAGAACCAAGGTCCAACTGGCACAGAGACAATTCCATAGCAGGCTAGAACAGACACCAGAAGAACACAATATCAGTGTATTTGATGCATTTAATAACTTAATTATGACATACGTAATGCAGTAACAGTTGTACTTACTAATATTTTATTTTACTCTTTATATACATCCATTTTCTTGCAAATAAATAAAAGTTTAGTTGTTTACCCCAGTGCTAACAAAAAAGCAATACCATGACTGCACCACCGATAAACAAGAATTAAAAAGGGGCGATAGAAAAAAGGTGACCCCTGCAACGTCACATTCTTCCGCATTCTGTAATTAAGGCCTCGGTACCATTGCCAGCTGCAGCATAAGCCTAACAGATCATGTAAATGGTCTGATTGATTTAATAAACCTACCTTGATGCACAGCTACATCACACCCATCACCATCACAGTACACCAAAGGGTTTTCATCCCATCCGCTCTCATCGGAGCAGACACAGCATCCTCCAACCATTTCTTTCATGTCACCCCAGATTCGTCTAGTTAGCTTTCGGACTTAGAAAATTAACATGTGGATGATGAAATAATCTGACACCAAGATGCGGACAGGGCGAGCAAATAAACGTAACACAACCAACACTATCCCCCCTTCAAATTCAATTCTTTTTTTTTTTTTTTTTTTTAGTGGCCACAACTTTCGTTTTTAGCCTCGCGAGGAGGTAGGCAAGCCGGGCCCATGAAGTGAGCCCGGTGGCCACTTTGTGCAGACAAAATGGGGAAACCCACACATATGCAACTTGGAGTAGCAAGGGGAGGAATTACAAGCGCCTCTTCACATTGGCCTAATAAAGGGGCGGGGAGGTTTACGTTCCATATGTGTGGGGAAAACCCCATTATTTACGTTACGACGTTTTTCCTACCTTCAATCTCACCTTTTGCGGGTGAAGGTTCGCAGAAATGTGCTTCTCCCATAGGCTGGGGCTGAAGCCAGATGAATGTGAGTGGCTACGCTAAGTTACATAGCCGGACCCGGACCACAAACAATGGCGCACACGGTTGGCAGACAAGTTGGGTCAGAGCCGCGTGTGGTGATCTGATAGCGTTAGCCGAGTGCCTAGTCACGGACTGAGCGCCCTCTCGTACGCGAATAGAGGGTCAGCCAGGATTACGATGCAAGCTCAAGAGCTCAAGGTCCGGCCGAACTTCCAGACCCGATGCAGCAAGCATCTGCAAGCGTATGGAGTAGGGGGTCCAGGACTTGACACTTTCCCAGTTCAGGAGCCCCCACCGATTGGTGAAGGGTGTTGAGCACGCCCTCTAGGTCCAGCCGCACTTCCAGACCCGGAGGAGCCCCTACCGTATTGCACGTGTGTGGGACTAGCACTCGAACTACGTGTTGGGTAGGCGGTCCGGGCCTGGTCGCTCCTCCAGGACCGGTACCGCACACCCTGTTGTGCAGTGTGAGGGGCCATTTGGTCTAGCCGTTGTTGCAGACCTGACCGTCGATATCAGTCGGTTTATATCTTGTTAGAAAAAGGCGAATTGATGACAAAGTCCAGCACGAGGTCAGTGAGTGCTGGATCTTCGTCACCAAGTAGGGTGCGTAGGTCGTTTGCAAGACCGTGCGAGCGTAGATAGGCGTTCAGATGGCGACGGCCCTGGCTTAAAGCTGTGCAGCTAATCAGGATGTGTTCCACAGAGAGTCGTACATTGCACGTGGCGCATATTGGAGGTCCAGAGCGCTCAAACAAGTGGCTATGTGTCAACCGGGTGTGACCGCACCTGAGCCGACCTAATAGGATCTCCTTTTTCCTATTCCGTTGGTAGGATGAATGCCATTCACGTAATTTCGGTTTGATAGAGTACATATGATTTGCATGACTTTGCTCCCATTGCTTCTGAAGGAATTGAGAGAAACGGCTTTTCGTAATGTGAAGTACATCCCCAAGGGCTACTGGATAGTCCTCTGCGGTGGGGAGCATTGTTGCTTGTTTTGCCAATGAGTCAGCCAATTCATTACCAGCAATACCAGAGTGACCAGGGATCCACAGCAGGGTAACACATTGATTGGTTTGGAGAGAATGCAGCAGTTTACAAACTCTGTACACGCCGGGATGCGAAATATCATAGTCTCGTTGAAGAGCTTGTAGAGTAGATTTTGAGTCCGTACAAATGGTCGCCTGTGGGACCTCATTTTCCCTAATATGGCATAGGACTCTTTCAATGGCATACACTTCCGCAGAAAAAACTGTGAAGGAATCTGGCAGGCGGGCGGTGAACCTAAACGATGGGCCAACTGCCGCAGCTCCTACCCGGCCATTGAGGGCAGACCCGTCTGTAAAGAAAAATGAGTCATCCTGGTAATCGTTTCTGTATTCATGGAAACACATCTGGATATCGGTTTTGGATAAATTAGATTTAGTGGATGAGATTAAGAATGATATGGATGGAACGTTATAAACCCAGAAGGGGTATGGAGGGGGTCTCTTGGCTATATTTAGCGAAGGTATATTAAACATACCTCTCGCACAGCATATAGCCTGGGGAATAGAGGAAGTCCTATGTAGAGGCATCCGCATGGGAAATGTTCTGTGTGTCTCCATTGCTAGTAGTGCTGGATGGTTAGGAATGCTTTTGACCTTAAAATAATAGCGCAAAAGCAAAAAGGCTCTACGATCTGCTAGAGAGGGTAGATTGGTGTCAGCACGTAGGGCGAGAACAGGGGATGTTCGAAAACCACCCGTGATTATCCTCATGCAGGTACTTTGGATTGTTTCCAAACGCCTGCATAAAGTGGACGAGACATTGCTAAGAAGAAACCCGTTATATTCTAGTGTTGACCTAATCAAGCCGACATAGAGCATTTGGAGAGTCTTCCGATCTGCTCCCCACGTATATCCAGAAATGCACTTCAGAACGTTGAGTCGTTTCATGCATCTGGTGCGAATGTCGTCCACATGTGGTTGCATTGTTAGCCGAGAGTCAAGGGTAATCCCAAGAAACTTGTGGGTCCTTTGATAGGGGATCGGCACATTGTTTATTCGGGGAGAATTTGTAAGCGATGGAACCGGGCCACGTTTAAAGATCATCATGATTGATTTGGGTGCTGAAAGGAAAAAGCCCCATGTTAAACACCAATTGGCGCAATGATCAATAGCTTTTTGAACGACTGAAAAGGAAATCTCACAATTTACATTCGAGCACCAAATGGCAAGGTCATCTGCAAATAGGGAGTGACGAATCGAAATCAGGGAACGAGGGAGGGTAAGAAATATATCATTTATAGACATGAGGAACAGTGTCGGAGAAAGAACACTTCCTTGGGGGACTCCATGCGCAAGAACGTGAGGGTTTGAGAGGGAATGTTGGCACCGGACGGTGAAGGAACGAGGTTGCATAAAATTGCAAAGGAACTTTGCAAGATGGCCACGAATGCCGAGGGCATGCAGCTTATATATAACTGTGGATCTGTGAACCTTATTGAAGGCCGAACTGAGATCAAGAAACACAGCAACCGTTGTACGACGTAATTCCCAGTTAGCTCGTACGTCTGAGATTAACCGACTAACATTGTCTGCGGTACTGTGCTGTCCTCTAAATCCACTCTGGAAGGGATCAATAAGCTCATTCGTTTCTAAGTAGAAACGCAGTCTGACATTAACCATCCTTTCAATGATTTTGCAGGCGCAGTTCGTTAGTGAAATTGGTCGGTAAGAGTCTACACAATGTCTATTCTTTCCTGGCTTCAATATAGGAATAATTATGCTTTGAAGCCAAGTTGGCGGAAAGGTATGGTTTAACCAGAGCTTATTTATAGCGCAGAGGAAGGTTGTAAGGTTCATCTCATTTAGATTGAGAAAGAAAGAGTAGGGTAGTCCATCAGGACCCACAGAGGTTTTGTCATCTGATTTGTCCAGCGCTATCTTAAGTTCCTTTAAAGTGAAAAGCTCATTGTAAGTCTCATTATTGTCCGATTGAAAATCGATGCCGTTCGTTAAATTAGTCAGAGTTTGATGGGTAAATGGATCATATATATCTGTTGATGAAATGTTCGCAAAATGTTGGGCAAATGCCTGGACAACATCATCACATTCAGAGATTCGTGTTCCGTTTATTTCTAGCTGAGGGAAAGATCGTAGCGTATTTCGATGTGATGAAAAAGTCCTGACTTGTCCCCAAACCTCTCCCAATGGGGTAGTTCGGTTACATTTAGCAGCAAACGCTCTCCACGCCTCCTGCTTCTCTTGTTTTAAGATTTCAGAGCAGGCCTTACGTGCTTGTGAGTATAGGTCTGCGTGGTAAGAACAGACACATCTTTGGAAGTTGCGCAGAGCTCTACGCCGTAGGGCCTTTGCCCTCTGGCATTTCCAGTTCCACCAAGGGACATTCCCTGGTTGGCCAGTTTTCTGGGTAATTGTTACCGTCTTAATAGTTTCTAAAGCTGCCGAATGGATGATTTGTAAGAATTCATTCATGTCCAAGTCTTCGTTATAGCCGGACAGGCGCGTAACAGCCGCATTAAAAGCTGTCCAGTCTGCGTGTTTAGTGCACCATTTTTTTGTTGGCGTGGGAGGCAGTGTTGGAGTCTCACTGGTAAGAATCACATGAATAGGGAAATGATCAGAAAATAATGGATCCGTTGTCACTGACCATTGGAACTTTGGCGCAATTCGTGGGGATGCAATGGACAGATCTATCGCAGATGTCGTGCGATAGCTAAAGCTCATGAAAGTGGGAGAACCATCATTCATACATATCAGTGAATGTTTGTTTAGCAATGCTTCCACCTGTGAACCTCTTGACGACAATCGCTGACTACCCCATAGAGGGCTGTGAGCGTTCAAATCTCCTAATATCAAACTGTTGTTCGGCATTTGAGCAAGGAGATTATCGATCTTGGAAGCAGTAACTAATGGAGAGTTTGGTGGGAGGTATAAGGACATAATGAGTATTTCACAATGGAATAGCGTTACATGTACTGCTACTGCATTTAGGGTTGTTGTAAGTTTAACTTCGTGATGGAGAATAGAGTTAGAAACGTATAAAGCGACACCTCCTTGGCGATGCAACGACATCACATTATTTTGGTACAATGAATATCCTGGAACCGAAAAGTTGTACACGTCATTGTCTCGAAAGTGGGTCTCCTGAATGGCGGCGAGTAGAGGTGCCGATTTTCTTAGGTGTTGTTTAAATTCTGACAGGTGAGATATGAGTCCGCCTGTGTTCCATTGTAAAATAAACATTTTGTCTTTTACCTAGTTCGTGTAGTCAGGGACGAATGAACGTTTCAAAGGTGTTCGATATCCAACGTTTTTTGTCCCACTTGGGGAGGACTGGCTGCGCAGGTTGTAGTTGCGTCTTACGGTGGGAGGAGTGGCGGGAGAAAACTCTATCTCACTCATTGAGGCAGAAGACGCAGGGAAGGTACCACAGATGGTATCCTCCTCGTCACTGGTATTGCAGGTCGACGAGTCATCATCTGAGTCTAAGATGGTCGAGCCAGACTGTACCTGCGTCTCAGAGTCCGGTAGACTGCTGTCCGCTGTCCGTAGGTGCGTGAGTTGGCTGTGCTCGGGGGTGGCCAGCCACTTTTTGCTGGCGTTAGCGACTGACGGCGAGGCCGTTGTGAGGGGCTCGGTACCCTTTTGGGACGCAAATGTCTCGGGAACCGTACTGCTTTGCTGGGAGTCTGCCTCTGAACCTTGTTGTTGCTTTGGGATTAGAGTCACAGGCCAGTCGTCATCACTGTCTTCCGCCTCGCGAGGGGTGGAGGTTGAGGTAAGTTCCTCGTGGGGAGAGGGTGTCGGTGCTGCAACAGACCGGCGACTTTCACGGCCGCTCTCTCTCCGTGACTCCCCGCTGGCTGGGGGAGGGGTCACTGACCTATCTCCAGCCC